ACTCTCCAATATCAATATGTAGTGTATCCTGATGGTTGCTGTTATATTATGGACCTCATCCTGTGGAGTGTCTTGAAACAATGTGGGAAACTGCTAAATGTTTACCAGAGGGAGATGAATTTCCACAGAAGCTTGATTCAGATCAGTTTGATAATATGGGTCAAATGAATATAAGGTATCATCTTCATTGAATTAATATGTGAGTCATGCCACAATAGACAATAGGAATAATCAACAAGTTCTCTTGTTTTTTAGGGAAGTGGGCAATTATTACAATGCAACAGCATTGGAAGCCGACAATGGAAATGTTGAAAGTCAAAAGAAATGTTTTGGCCTAGGTAAATCCTTGATTGATAGGCTTGGATTACTCAGATGCATTTCAGTGTGAATTCATTTTGTTTTAAACTGTTTATGATTTTCTTTGTGTTTAGTATACCCAGACCATTGTGTAAAATATTATGGCCCACACTGGAAAAAATGTTTGGAAACTATATGGGAATCTTCCTTATGTCTTGAAGAAGGTACAAAACATCCAGACAAATTAACTGAAGAGGAAAGAGACCAATATGATGAACTGAACTTGAGGTTCTCTTCAATTGTCATAAACATTTCTCCACAGTTTTTGATAGTCACAATTAAAACTTATCATTGATAGTCACTTTTTTATTCAAAAATTTGTTATTCCTACAACTTATTTCCTTATCTAGTCTTTGAATGTAAATATTCATTATCTAATTTGCTTTGGCCACACAACACACTCATTAAGGACCTAAATTAGATGCTTTCATGACATACTAGATCAGTGGTTCTTAAACTTTTTGAGCCGCGCCCCCTTTGAAAAATCGTACAGATTTCGCGCCCCCCCCCCAAAATTGAGGCACAAACATGCATTCAACGAAACAAGATTTTATTCACAAATAACGTCAATGAGAGGGGTGAATCTGTTTTTGCGAAACAAGTAATTTAATTCGAGGAACTGTAGCAGATAACGCACATCTCATATCTGATTCACATTGAAGTTTATTCCGTTGTTTTGTCTTTATATTCACCAGAGTAGAAAACCCGCTTGCACAAAGGTAGGTAGATGAAAACGGAAGCAGAGTGCGTATTGTTACGCTACCTACTCTCTTATATATGCGTACATATTTTGCCCAGAAGTCGGTTAGCGGCATGGCTTCAAAGTCGTCTTTTGCAGATGAATCAAATTTCATATCCAAAAATTCTTCTTGCAAGTTGCTTGGAAGAATGTCTTCATCGACACGAAATGGATCTCTTGTAAGTTTCCATTCTGGAAGTTCTGTGTCATTCAAATCTGGAAAATAGCGTTCAAATTCTTCTTTTAAAAGACGTAGGTGGGACACAATATCGCTCTTGAAATCACCATCAAGCTTGATTTGTTTTTCGTCAAGAGCAGTATCGAGATTGGGGAATGAGGCCGCGTTTCCTTGTTGAGCTCGGCGATACCATAATTCAAGCTTCGCTATGTAAGCACGAATGAAACCGTAGTCAGTTATTCGATTAGTTTCTCTGCCTTGTAATAGTAGATTTAATTTATTCAGAGATTCAAAAATGTCCACAAGGTAGGCCATGACCAGCACAAATTCATCTGATTTGAAATAAAGGAGAAGATCGTATTTTCCTGAGCTTCCAGAAATAGCGTAAGCTCATTCCTCATCTCATACACACGTGCTAACATGTTTCCTTTCGATAGCCACCGAACATTTGTATGGAAAAGCAGATTCTCGTAATTACAATCCATATCTTTACAGAATTTGGCAAACATTCGTGTATTGACGGCACTAGTTTTAATGTTGTTGACGGTTCGTATTATTATCGCAAGCTTATCTTTCATCGAAGTAGAGAGAGTCTTAGAAGCCAAAGCCTCTCGATGGATGACACAGTGCGATCCAATAACGTCGGAATTTTTTTGTTTTATTCTGGCAATAAATCCACTACGAGATCCTATCATAGCCGGCGCACCGTCAGTGCAGACACCTACAAGTTTATCCTATTTCAATTCATTATTTTCAAAAAATTCAGCAACAAGTTTGAATACATCTTCAGCTTTAGAGGTCGTCTCGAGAGGTTTGCAAAGGAGCATGTCTTCTTCAATTGAACTTGATCCTACAAAACGGACATATACCAACAACTGACACAAGTTGGCAACATCAGTAGTTTCGTCACATTGTATGGCGAAAAATGGCGACAGCTTTATTTTTTCGATAACCTGAAGTTCAATGTCGTGTGCAATCTCATCAATTCTTGTTTTAATTGTAGAATCCGAAAGAGAAATCTTTGCAAGTTTCTTACTGCTCGCCTCTCCCAAAACAAGACTAGCAGCTTTTAAAATACTCGGTTTTATCAATGTCTCCCCTATACTGTGCGGTTTTTTCTGCTTCGCAATCATATGAGCAATTTCAAAAGAAGCTTCTACTACATCTGCAGAAGGCGACTGACAAAATGAATTTATGCTACAAGTCCTCATTTTTTTAAATGAATCCTTTTTGCTTTGAAAAAAAGCTAAAGGTTTTTCCTGATGTGCAGGGTGCTTTGTTTTAAGATGTCGCTGTAAGCGAGTTGGCCTCATAGCGTCATTGCTGAGATTTTCAAAGCACAAAATGCATTGCGGTACAACCTCGCCCTTCACTGTGGTATATATGAAGCCATACCTAAGATAATCTTCATCATACTTTCTCTTTTTCCCGCTCATTTTGCAATACAACTAAATTTCAACTAAATCTAAACTAAATGCAATAAATGATTACGTAAAAACTCACTCAATTGTTAAACTACTTCATAACATCACTACTGAGCTATATTCAAAAGTCAATCTACTGTTTCTGACAATACACAACGATTGCAGACTTCATGGCTTGCTCAACTTCTCAAATATTCAAAGCCAATCTACCTGATGAGATTACAAACAATACAGTTTACAAAATGGAAAAGTGCAATTAAATATATGTACGTTTTCAGCCCAAAGAAAAGATATACATCAAATGGTCAAAACTGTCAATTTTATCCAAAACTAAATACCGTGTGCCGCTTACAGATACTTATGGCATAAGTTAGGTCATCACAGAGTTTGCGGTATCAAGTTTTATTACTTATTGCAACTAATCTACAGCTCATCGAAAAATATGATGAAAATTAAGGTATTCGATATACAGCTATTTTTGGAGGCACAACTGAAAGCTGTCAAATAGGCTAATACACAAAACGACAAAACGTTAACAGCCATGCTCGAACATCTGTCTGACCGACTTCTATTGTACCGTCATTGTTGACTTAATGCTGATTGGTCATTGTTACGACACTAAGCAAGGAAATCAATGCTCGCAGAACCGTTAACACAGTAATCAATTTCAACGCATATTCACGCATGCTTATCCTATTTTGCCACGCGTAGTCTGGTAGTGAGTAGTGAAAGAAAAGGGTCATTTTGCATCATTTTACGACACCCCCTAAAATCTTCTCGCGCCCCCCTAGGGGGGCGCGCCCCCCAGTTTAAGAACCACTGTACTAGATTCTTTGAGTTGGAAAACACAGTGAAAAACAAGTCACACAAAGTGAAGCAATAGTTAAAATTTTCATTATACTTAAGTCATATAAAATAAACTTAGAGGGTATATGTTACTTATTGTCAGTGTATGTCATAAAAAAGGCAGTGATTTCAACTGCTTTTTTGCGGAACACTAGTGTTTCGTGAGAGACTACATGTTCCGCATCAAATTGTTGTCCCCAAATATTTTTATATTTTGCCATATGCTAACAAAAAGTAATCCAAATCCACCAGGCACGTATTTAGTTTTTTAAAAAGATTCTATTGCGTGTATTAAACGTCTTCCAAGGTACAAACTTCCCAGTTTATTTTAAAACAATGGTTAACCAGCGAAATGGCGACGGAAACGTAACAATTACAATTTAATCAGCCATTCAAATGCCATTTTCAAGACCATGGCTGCAAACATTGACTTGTTTCGTAATGTAATTCGTGATTGGTCAAATTCTACTATATTTCAAGAATTTAGGTTTGAATCAAGTGGTCATTCTGGCCTCTTATAAAAAAAAATGCTCAAAGCTGGTTCACGCAAAAAAATAATATCAAAATGCTGGACTAGGTTCAGTATCTAGAAAGGGCAGCTCCTTAGATATTTAAGAACAAAATATTGGTTTTGAAAATTTTAAACAGTTTGCAAATGCTAGCTCATCTAAACAAGCTCATGTATCATATTAATATTGCATTGCTATTAAGGGCCACGAATAGCCAGTTTTTCAACATACTTTTGTTCTCTTTAATCATGAATTTGAAATTTTTACGTCTTTTTACATCGAGAGTTATGAGCCATTGGTTTTGTTATAATTTCATTCTCCTACACTGAAACTGATCAAGATTATTGGTTATTTCGATAGATTCCACGAAATAGAAAATTTTTGCTTGGTGTTCTGCGTTCATGATCTAACATAGGTTCTCAAAGTGCTTCGTACGGAGCCCCTGGACTCCTTGATAGAAACCTAAGGGCTCTGTGAGCTATTCGATTACTGTAAAAATACTGACTTGGCTAATTTTGTAACTGTCCAAAGAAACCTCAAGAGTATTAATAAAGTTTGACAACAGTATCGTCGAAATATGGCAACCAGGTGGTAATTGAAATATGATATTATCTATTAGCAAAAGCGCAGCCAGGTATCGCCTTCGAGTTGAGATTATGATTACTAAAATGAAAGATAACTATTCTAAAATAACATGAAAAACATGTGCTAAACTGCCAACTATAAATAGATCGGAATCGTATTTCTGAGATCTTGGGATTGGTCAAATTTGATTTGTTCTTTCAGCACTCAAGATCATTTTTAAGCAAGATATCGCCATTACAAATAACTCTAAGTCGGCGTTAAAACCTCAATGAGTACAATTTACAATTCCACAATTTTTGATTGATATGGGCATATTTAAAATGCCTCGTTTATTGGCCTAATTGTTTTAAATGTAACCTGCAGTTGCGTCACCTCAAGACAGTATAAAATCATTATACCCCAAAATTACCACGCCAATCCGTGGACATTGAATGAGAAATAATGAAACAAGAATATCGGTCGAAGACCGAAGTCTTATCGATCGAAAGTTAGGGGATCCCCCAAAAGAGAAACTGCGGTTTCGATTCAACCGCTCTTACTCCGTAGTGACACCGTGTGTCCCATCACTAATTAATTAATAACTCGTCAATTATGCGACATAATTCATTCAAATGCAATAGGCTTCTGGTCCGAGATATGATGAATGCACATGCAAATTTTGGAGCAGATTCAACCTCGCTTTAGTGAAATACCTCGTGTATCTAACAGAAAACAAACAAACAAATACCTATCAATATACTTATCGATCTTGATCGGTAACAAAGTCAAGTAAATTGGGCTCTTGTTGACTACTGTATATCCTTAAAAAAGCTGTTATCATAAGATATTAGTAGCAATGTCGTACTGCCCTCAAAAGAACATACTTACTACCGGTGCCGGTAGTTTGATTAAGATACTTGTGCCCGTCCCGATTAAATCGTAATCATGACTGATTATGTGGCAGATTTAGCGAATTCTACAAATTTAAGTCGTTCATGCAAAACTGACTCCGCCCTATATCGTTTGAAAAATCCCTAGATATTGACAAAATTCGAATGATTGAAATAGATTTTATTGTAATAAATAATTGATTGATATACTTTACATTAATCATCTTGTATACTGTGACATACAGAGAAAAAGTTGCATGCGGCTTTGTCAGTAGTTTCAGAGTGGATATAAGGTACATCACGCGCACAATTTACTTTGTTTCGATTTCAGTTTCTATATGGTTTAATTTCCAATGAAATCCTAACATAACACCAAATTTTGTGATTTACAATGTCTAAAAAGTGTTTTTACTGTCCTGAGTCTGCTTAAACGAAATTATGGCGTTATCTTCCGTTTTAGGTTTCAGTTTTAATATTCTTTAATGCCGCTTTTCAATCAAGAAATTTGGGTTGTGAATTCACTTTTTATTAATTATTTTTAGCATCTTCGTCACCGATCATTATAATATACTAACTTGTTTTTCACACTGAACTCACAATTCAGTACGATAACAAAAAGTAATTGTCGTTGTCGTCATGGAATAATACATGCATATGCCGAGAAAAATTTGTGATTTAGGGAGAATAACCACCTACGTAAAGATGTTTACTCTCAAAAAACTTGTCACGCTGACGAAAACAAAAGCAATTTAAAAAAAAATGCAATTGCGCACGTTATTAGCGACTTTTTCAATCCAAATAATCAAAGTTTAGGGCGGTTCGACCCCAAATTTATCAATATGTTCGTCAAGTGTAAAACTTACAGCCTCAATCAATGTATATAATTTATCTGTGAAATTTAGATTTATTTATGACTTGTATCAACCCTATTAAGTAAAGTAATTTTAACTTACTCAGGAACATTTATTGGTAAGTAACAATAGGTTTTTTGTTTAATTTATTTTTAAAAATTATTTGTGGGGCTTCGTAAAAAATAGTCAACCTTTTCAAGGGCTTGTAACACCAAAAGTTTTTGAGAACCCGTGATCTAAAAAGTGTTTCGCTATTTGAAAAGGCTGAAAATCATTGTTCTAGGTTAATCCCATTCCCACCTCTTCACAAAACCTATTTTCATAATGGCTGAACGAATAGCCTTGTGAACTGCATGAAAAAATCAATTGTTCACTTTTTACACTAATAAGTGAATTCGTATATACAAATTTTAATTTCTTGTTTTAAACAGAGAAATAATACATGAATTTAATACAACTCAGTCTCTTGCGGATAGTGATAATGCAACAAAGCAGATGGAATGCTTTGGATTAGGTTTGTATTTTTTTAATGTATTTAACTAGAACTAACTACTTCTTTTCTTTGCGAGGTTCCACTATTATTGCTATTTATTTTACAGTATATCCAGATGGATGTCTGAAATATTATGGCCCACATCCATTAGATTGCCTGGTCACAATGTGGTACACTGCTTCATGCCTCTTTGTAGGAACTTTCCATCCCTCAAAATTAAATATGACCATGTTGAAATGGTTCGATAATCTAAACATAAGGTAAGGCTTAAACAAAACATAAGCGAGTCATTATACCAATGATTCCTAGTAACTTTTTTATCCTAATTATATCACATGTATTTTAAAAGAGAGATTGAGACCTTGTACAACACCACATCTTCAAAAGCAGATAATGAGGACGTTGAAAGTCAAAAGAAATGCTTTGGAATGGGTAAGTTCATCATTAATTTCTGATTTGTTGTCAAAATAGAATAGTTTGTTATTTCATTGTTCCTCTAGAATACCCTAATCACTGCGTGAAGTACTATGGGCCACATCCACATGAATGTTTGGAAACAATATGGGAATCATTCAGATGCCTTAACGAAGGTACCAAACATCCGGATAAACTAACACAGATGGAAATATATTCTTTCGACGGAATGGATCTGAGGTGAGAATAAAGACATGCTTTTTAAATTAGCATTATGATTTATTTGTTTCATTTGACAACATTATACTTTTTTTAGAACATTCTTCCCTTATTCTATTAGCACTATATTCGGATTTGAAATAACATTTTCCTAATTTTTTTATCCCAACGTTTATTAAGTTTATTAGGAATTAAAACCATCATGTCCATGGAATATTAGATTCAATTTTAAAATAATGTCATTTTAACATGTAAATTGCTATTATTTACTTATTTTTGTTTTTACAGAGAAATCATTGGAATATATACACCACTCACGACTCGCTGATAGTGATAACGCAACTAAGCAAAATGGAATGTTTTGGAATAGGTGATGGGAATTTTTGAAGCTTGCGAATTTTGTTTCAATAAATGTCTGGTTTTAATTCATATAAACATTTAGTATATCCTGATGGTTGCTTGTTGTACTATGGACCTCATCCTGTGGATTGTCTTGAAACAATGTGGGAAACTGCTTTATGTCTTCCTGAAGGAGATTTGTTCCTCAGGAAGCCTCAACCTTCCAAATCAGTTTGAAACTATGGGTCAAATGAATATAAGGTATATTGTTATATTATAAGTATGTCAAACATAATAAACAAAAAAATTACAATCAATTATATAATGAATTAGGAAGGAATAGATGTTTTCTCGACCCTTGACCTCAGAATGATTTTTTTCATTCAGTAGGCTTGTGCTTGTTTGAAAAAAATGCTAAAATTAATTATAATCAAGTGAGTCATATATGTATTTTATTTTTATTGAAAACCTATCATCAATAATATCAAATAAAGCAAAATACATAAATAGTTTCTGTCTATAAATTTGTGAACAATCTATTAATCTATCAACAATTTGACATAGCTCCCTTTTAAAGACGAGGCAATTTTGGATTGCTAATAATTAATTGTATCCCAACAGAAATACTGCCAAGCGTCTGGAATTGTGTAATGTATGATATAAAAGCAGGATTAGTTTTATTCATATTACTACCCAATGAGCATAATATATTATTTCTGATACAGGGAAATAGGAACATATTACAAACACTGCAGTGGATGCAGATAATGGAATTGTTGAAAGTCAAAATTTTGTTTTGGACTTGGTAATATATCTTTTCTTTTTATTGCTATTTTGTGTCTTTTTATTAGTGTAAAATTTCAATCCATATTTATTCAGTATACCCAAATTACTGCAAGAAATACTATGGTCCTCACTGGAAAAAATGTTTGGAAACTATATGGGAATCTTATCGGTGTCTTGAAGAAGGAACAAAGCATCCAGATAAACTCTCGCAAGATGAAAGAGATAGATATGATGGAATGAACCTAAGGCATGTTTTTTTCCTATTGTAATTGAATATTCACTTTACTGTACCCAACTGTCTATTATCTAATGCAAGGCTGCTCAACCCATGGGTCGCATGTGGCTCACCAGACTATTCACTGTGGCCTGCACTTTAAATAAGTTGGAAGCAGACTTTTTAAATTTATAGTATTTGATATGAGATAAAATATATTTTGCGATTTTGGTGTGATTGTTTTGGCCAACCTAAATCCCATGTCAATTTACTCAAAATTGCAATGGCTTAATTAATTGATCATGGCACACAAAGGACAAAATGAAGTAGTGTACGGGTACGGGTAGTAGTAGTAGATAACCGGATTCCACAGTCTCTGCAAGTCTTCAAAGCGATTCATAGGTCCCTTATGTGACCAGAAATGAATAATATCTTGCTTTTTTCGTTCTTTTTTTTTCTATTGTGTATATACATTTCTACATATTAAAATTTAGATATTCATACGGAACACTGTTGGGTATTAACTTTACAAATTTTACCAAATGGCCCACTAAAAACCTGTTGATACTTACACAACATTGGCTCACATTTTGTCCATTTAAAAATTTAAACATTAGCATAGCCACTGGAAATAATAAAATAAAAAACACCATGAAGCAAGTATACCACTTAGCGAAAAGTGGTGTTTATCAGAAATCCACAGGTGCGTTGTGCAATGCAAGCATTTAATTCAGGGACTCACAACTAATGTGCTATGTCCAGGTCACGTGTTACCAGCATTTTGCAGCCCGCAACACTAATAAGGTTGGGCAGGCTTGATCTAATTGTCTTCAGTCATATAAGTTATTTACATTTATAACATTGTTAACATTCACATTATACATCCGTTTCTTATACAGGGAAATAATGTATGAATTCAACACAACCCAGTTCCTTGCTGATAGTGACAATTCAACAAAGCAGTTGGAATGCTTTGGATTGGGTAAGTTCTTCTTAGATATCTAAATCTTTTTCACTGGAGATCTCCAAGTATTGCATGCTCTTGTACCATTTATGAATATTCATTGCATTAAATTCAATAACAATCTGAACTACCAGTTTTCAGGTTATTGTTTTATTATATGTTTGTGTAATAATCTAATAAGTAAATCACTCCTTATTTGTTTCATGTTTTACTATGATCGACTGCATTACAAGCGATGCAGGAAAGAGCAACGGACTCAAAACCAGAAGCAACTAGGATTATTCATGCCATAAGTCAACAGGGTTTTGAGGAAAATATTTGATATTGATTAGTTGCATAGTAGTCACACAAACAGCACTAGTTAATTTGATAAATAAAATGGGATTTAGCAATTTTAGTAGTCTCTGATATCTGATAGACTGACAATACTTCATTCACTACATTTGGATTTAGTTAACATTGTCTATCTGTTATTTTTATGTATTCATTAGTGTACCCTGAAGGTTGTGTGAAGTATTATGGTCCGAATCCTGTCAAATGTCTTGAAACAATGTGGTACACTGCTACCTGCCTCTTGGTTGGTCATTTTCATCCATCAAAAATTGAACACAAGTTCATTAAGCATATTTGATAATATGAATATAAGGTAAGAAAAACAAAATTTCTTAATGTGCATAATTTCTTTCATAAATATGCTGAAAATATTTATAGGGAAATTGGATCTTTGTACAATGACACTTCTTCGGCTGCTGATAATGGAGATGTAGAAAATCAAAAGAAATGCTTCGGGATGGGTGAGATATTTGCATAGAGTTTGTGCTAAAATTTTAAAAGTATTCAATAAAGGGAATTCCGAAGCGCAGTAAATGTAAAGAGCATATCAAAGTTCTAATAGATTTTATTTGGCTATTTTTGTATATTAATTTTCTAGAGTCAATAACCCACTTATCATTGTTGTAATTTGTGATATTCTCAGAGTATTTTGAAAAATGCACCAAGTATTACGGACCTCACCTACGTGGATGTTTGGAAACAGTATGGAGTCTGGTGACTTGCATTAAAGAAGGAACTAAATATCCTACTAAACTTTCAACTAATGAAATTAATTATCATGATGATCTTAATCTCAGGTAAAATTGTTTTGTTAATAAGTGATTTGGGTGAAAGCCTGTCATAATTGCATGACCTATATAGTTTAAATTGTTTTATTTTAAACAATATATTACTGAATTAGACGTTTTTATACACAGGGATTTGTATTCTCAATTCAATACGACAAAAAATCTTGCAGATAATAATAATGTTGGAAAACAACTGGAATGTTTTGGAATGAGTAAGATATTCTATTATATTTATCGTATATATTTTTTCAGAATATTTATATTTCTGCTCTTTTTTATCAACTTTTGTTTCCTCTATTTTAGTATATCCCGATGGATGTGAAAAATACTATGGTCCTCATCCAATGCGTTGCTTGGAAACTTTCTGGGAAATGTCTACCTGCCTACCGGAAGGACAGGAATTTCCACCAAAAATTTCTTTTGAAAAATGGGAATGGTATAACAGCAGTAATTTAAGGTACGGTACCTTTTAAAAAAAAATTATTTTATCATGTTTTTTTCTCTCGTGTTACAGGTACAGTAGTTGGTATACTGGTAGGATTAATATTTTTGTGAATCCTGATAACTCATTATCTAAAATGCAGATTTTCTTTGTGAAATGAGTTTGAGTCTCATATTTTGTTTTGCTCTTTCCCCTACTTTACACAATATACAACTTTTTTAGAGAAGTGTCAAGATATATGAACCTTACTGCAGAAGAGGCTGACAATGCAAATAAAGAAAGTCAGCTAAAATGTTTTGGAATGGGTAAAAATATTTTAATTTTTTTGAATAATTGTGTTCAATATCATATATACTTTTATGTTGTAGAATATCCGTTATATTGTACATTATACTATGGACCACATCCAGTCAAATGTTTGGTAACAATATGGCAATCGGTTGCATGTCTCTATCTTGGTAGCCGTCATCCACAAAAACTTACTCGAGATGAACTTCTGCGTATAGACACATTAAATTTGAGGTGAGTGTTGAATGCAATAGATTTTATTCCATACTTTTCCTTCCTTTCCAAGTAATAGAAGATATTGTTTTCAGATCGGTTATATCTGAGATGAATACAACTAGAGAAAGTGCGGATAGTGGAAGCAAGGAGGATCAACTGTTTTGCTTTGGAATGGGTTTGTATTTCTTTTGCTTTGGTAATCTATGTAAACATTTTCTATATTGTTTGGTATTAGTGTTTTTAATTCTTCTTGACAACTGTTTGTTGTATTCATGGTCTTATTTATATTATCCTTTGATGTTGAACTGCCGAAACCTCTTTAGGTTCAGGCAAATAGCTCATCTGCATTTAAAATCACATATGATTGATATGTTATACTGCTGTTTTATGCTTTTTACTATTTTTTCAAAGTTTTTTTTTCTTCATTCAAATTTGAATTTTTTCAGAATATCCAGAGCATTGTATGTTATATTATGGACCACATTCTACCTCCTGTCTTGTCACTATTTGGATATCTGTTGGATGTTTGGATTATGGATTTAAATATCCTGTGAAACTTAATGAATCTGAACATGAAGTACTTGACTCCATGAATTTAAGGTATATTTGCCTTCCAATTTTCAGCTGTAAAACTAGTCAGCACATTTTCTTACTTGGTTCAATTAGAAGGTTTCATTATTTTAAAATATTCGTATTTTTGGCAGAGAAATTATCTTCAAATTTAACCAATCGAGGTGGAATGCAAATTTACCTGACCGGCAAGAGCAAAAGGATTGCTTTGGAATGGGTATGTTGTAACTGTCATACTTCTTAGTATGAATATGTCTTGCTAATTTAATTTGTTGCATTCAGAATATTACAAACACTGTCATACATATTATGGTCCATTGACTTTATGGTGCCTTCTAACTATATGGAAAGAAGCAACATGTATTCCAAAGGGAACAGAATACCCCAATAAATTACCAGAAATAAATCGTAAACAGATATATGATGCTCTTAATCAAAGGTAATAATTTATAAACCACTTATAGAGTTTTTGTGATGGCAAGTTCAATATTTGTTCCCCAAACACAAAACAAAATTGTTTTTCAGGGAAGTACTAGATCATGTAAACACAAGTCATGCTTATCCTGCCAATAATTGGGTACCTGCTGCCCAAGTTACTTGCTATGGACGAAGTAAGTTTATTATTTGAATCTCAATTTTTATATTTGTATAAAATTCTATATATAATTTGTATAGATTTATATAAGAATATGTATATATATATTCAGAATTTCCAGAAAGATGTAAATTATATTGGGGACCAAATTCTCTTGATTGCTACACAGTAATATTTCGTGAGGCAGAATGTGTGAGAGAAGGGTACAATGATCCTAGTAATCTCACATCTGAACAGGTTGCGGAACTTAACTCCATGAATCTATGGTGAATGAATATTAGTGTTTCTCTTTTTCAAGTGCGTTATGTTTCAGATTGCATTACATGAATATTATCTATTTGGTGATTAGCTTCTTAAAATCTCTTTGTATATGAAAAAGATGCAGTTTTTGAAGATATAATCAGCCTAAGCTTTTAATCTACAACTCTTTTTCTTGCCTTTCACTCTGAATAAGGCTTTTTTATAAGCATCCACCTATACGCATAAACGTATTATATAAAAATGCAGTTGCGAGGTCTGTAACTGTGATGCCAAGTCCAATGCTCTAATCACTACGCCAACATGCACATACATTTAGGATTTTTTTTTAATACAGGTGTATTCATTGTTGTTGTTGTTGCGTATATTCGAAAACACCATAAATACATGACAGATTGTTAGTTATCTAATGTTAAATAGCTGTAATTTTATTAGGAGTCTTGTGAAACTAGGGGAATAACTGTAAAATTGAAGAGCTATGCCAAATGAATATATTTCCGTTCTTTTTTATTTAAAATAAGTAATTAGGTAACTAAATGGGGCATATTGATTATTAAATAAAAAAATAATTACCAATAAACCCACACGCATTTTGATATTTTAGGGATTTGATAGACAGAATGAATAGTTCAAGAAAGAATGCTGATGAAGGAATTGTGGAAGATCAGTTAAAGTGTTTCGGACTAGGTTAGTAATTTCATATTGCTCATTAATGACTATACTTTTAGCAATATACCACTTAACAATAATGATTTAACAGACAATACTCCATATTACAGTTTGATAAATTAATCTGTCTACTGAACACAAATGTCTTGGAAAATTTTACTTCATTATATACTTTTTATTTTTCAGATTACTTTGAGCCTTGTTATAAATTTTATGGACCAATGAATGATTCTTGTATCAACTATATATGGACTGATGTTGTACTGTGTTCATACTTGGGTACAGCTTATCCACAAAATTTAACAGTTGAAGCAAGAGGAGCCTTGTATTATGGCATGCATCAAAGGTGTGACATATCTGTAGTGTTTATTTATAATGCATAAATAAAGCAAGCACGCAAGTAAAGCTGCACCATTGATCAACGTTTAGCGGTAATCCACCAGCACAACAACATCCTACTGTTTTATTCCTATTGCAGTATCTGCAGTACAACTTGAAAACTCTTGAAATTCAGCTCGATTTTGATTAATATATTTTGAGTAAATATGTGTTTTGAGATATTTGTTAGAAAACCTTTAGTTAAAATAGTTTTTTTATTTTTACATATAACTTTAGGGCTGTCTGGAAGTATATAACATTAATTCGTCAGTATGCTGAAGGTGGCGATCCTAATTATCAGATGGAATGTTATGGCATGCGTAAGTTGATTCTTGTTTTATTTCTGTTCTATGCTTCAGCTTATACTATTATTTCTGATATCAATTAGAATTTTATGCACCGGTAACTTAATCCAAATTTTCGACTGATACTCAAAACAGTCTTGTATGAGCTTGTTGTAAACACTCATCTAGAATATAGAAATTGCATAGGATCTGAATATCAACAGTCCAATGTTATAGCACATCACCTCATTTGAACTATCAGAAATTAACGAGATGCAGGTTGTTTTTTAGTAGATTTCTAAATTTAAAAAAGTTTGTATAAAATGGAGATGTTAAACAAAAACAATTCAGGAATTAAAAATTTTATTATCTGTAAGTTATATCTTATCAAGGTAAACTGTTAACGTTTTTTTCCAGTTATTCCAGATCAGTGCACATACTTTCCTTTGCACACTGATGAATGTCTCGATCATTTATGGATAAACGAAACGGAGTGCACAGATATGGGTGACGCTTATCCTCTTTCATTTAATCAAAGCATAAAGAATCATTTCTTTGAACACATCGATTTAAGAGAGGTTTTGAAAATCATGGAGGATAATGCCACAGATCAAATGCAATGCTATGGATTCAGTATGTTATGATATTTCAAATTTGATTTTCTCTTTTTGAAAATTTATCCTGATATACTGTAAATTTTTATTTTTCAGTATGTAGAAAGGTCATTATTAGTATATTCAATCATCCAGTCTTTTTTATGTCTTTATTTATGAATCGTAATACAATGTGAAGTGATCGATCTAAAATTTGTGAAAAGTAATTTCTTGATCAAAAGTTTTATTTTTATATTCATTTTTTGTTGAATTTTATCAATTTCGAATTTGAAATGGATTGTTTTCTGTTATTGTAATACTTTTCATTTTAATAAGCGTGCAATATCTGTGTCTTTAAAAATAACTTTTTTTTCAAGATACTTGTACCGAACACTTCTCAATCGGTTTCTGCATTCATCAAAACAGTTTTCTTTGTCAAAAGATGCACTCGTACCTATTATCGTAGTTTTTTCTATCATAATAAGCAAAGTGAAAATTATATTTCAGCATTTCCAGAAAGTTGTAACTACAAGCCACCTCACGATGGAGACTGCCTTATAGACTTGTATGCTGATGTGAGTAAACACTTGGTTCGATTAATCTCAACATGAAACATAAACTAGATTATTTAATATTTCTTGATTTAATCTTTATAAATCATTTCATTTGTTCAGACGGGATGTGATACTGATTTCGGTTTCATTCCTACTAATGAAATGGATTCGTATAGCTCAAATAATATTTGGAATGTTTTAAATGAATTTGTTGACATCAAAGAAAAGGCTGATGAAGATGATACATATGGTGTTGAAGCCGAAGCTTGTTATAAGCCAAGTATGAATCTTAGTAACACAATGTAATTCGTTAATAATCATGACATTTTCTTCATCAAATGCTGTTGTTTTAGAATTTGTTGAAATTGCTGAAGGTCTCAAGGTACTTTTTCACATTTACGGAAAAACATATAAAGAAGCTGTTGAGCACTGCAATTCTTTGAATTCCCTGTTACAGTTTTCTGTAAGATTTTTTTTTAATCTGTCTAGTACCTGACACAAATCTAACTGGATGCGAGAAAATTCATCAGAAAAAATACAGTATTTGATTACTGATGTTATTTTAATTTTTCGCAGATTGATAATGATGAAATACAGAAAAAGTTGGAAAGAAAACTGCATAACGCATATGCCCTATTTGATACTGAGCAATGGTGGCTAGGATTAAATGATTTGGAAAATGAAGGTACCAAATAATATTTTGTACCCCATCATTAGAACCCTAATTACGAGATTTTATGGTAGTGTCATATGAATTAGGCTTGAGTACTTATTGGCTGTATGAAAGAAATTGATTTTTGCTTGTTTGGCAACTTGTAACTTTAACTATAACAGGAAGCCATAGGCATTCCATCTTTTGACATGTTTTGTTTCAGGCGATTTTGTTTGGGCGAATCTTGATAAATTTGATGCTGAAAGTGCTTATCACCACTGGGATGATAGTTTCAATGCAAATCATGGAAATAAACACTGTGGTACCTTTAATTCTGTCAATAACTTTACTTGGAGTCTTGAAGATTGTGAAGAATCAAATTCTTTTATGTGCATGGATGGTATAAAATAAATACTTGTGCTTTTCTTGTTCTTTGAAAGTATTCAATATTAAAATTAAATTTATTTTCCAGTTACCTGCACATACAAAGCCAAATATATTTTGTCAGAAGGTAATAATTTTTATGATGCTATTTGTGAATGGTATTATTTCTTCATTATTATATTTTAAGAATGTAATGTAGGATGGTTGATTTGATCACATCATGGGTGATACCGTAATCAATTTCAGATTAGTGTTGCACATTTTATATATATGTCCATGACAAGATAGTTCCTGACTAAAATGAAGCATGGAATAGGAAAAAAAACAGTAAATTATTTAGCATTTCATCTTTAATTATTGCTTATAAACTACAAAATGCAACTTTTCTGTGTTTGATAATTATGTCAAAAATATTCCAGAGGCAGACTGTAATTCTGAATGCAATGATCACCAAAGATGTGTTGATGGTAAATGTGTCTGTGCTGAAGTGTATGAAGGAGACGATTGCAAAAAACTCAAAGGTATGCAGCAAAGATCTCTGTAATAGTACATTCCTTAGATTAGTGCATTCAATTACGATACAGTTATATAGATTTCTATAAAGTTGTTTTGATCAATAAGTTTGAATAACTTAAGTTATATTAAAATATATGCATGTCTTTTTCATTAGGCATGAACGCTGTTTGGGAAATTAAGAAGTTTGACAAAACATATCTGTTTTTTGATGAAGACCTTACCTGGCACGGTGCAAGAGATTATTGCAATGGTAATTAATTTTGTTCTTCAATCATAAAAACATTTGCTTATTGAATTCAGTATTTTTAATATTGTTTGTAAATCTTATTCAGAAATCTTTCTGTTCCTGTTCTAATTTATTTTTTAATTTATTGACGATGAACATTTGATTCACAGGAACATGGGGGACATTGGCAATGCCGAAGACTTTGGAAATACATGAGTTTTTAAAGTGGAATATATTAGCCATGAATTTGAAAAACGAAACAGGTAATAGTTCTTGATGAAAGTTGCTCATATTGTTTACCAAGCATATTACGTAGTGCTTTTGGGTAATTGTGCTGTTTTATTATTCTTGCATAATTATTTTGAAGACTTACCGGGTATCTCTACTAGTCTATGACTCTATCTAAACATGCTTTTTTATTGTTTCGTCGAAAACTTGTTTTTTTTCTTCATGTGATATTTATTTATTCATTTATCTGAACCAGTCTTGTCTTCACAGTTGCTCAGAGATCCGCATACTGGAACAAATTTTGTTTTCAATTAGACTTTCTCACCAACAATTTTAAATATCCTTTTTCTGTTGTATTTACCGTATATGATCGCAAATAGGCCGAGTTTAAAACTCAAAAAAAAAGTTGCCAAACTAAGGGACCGTCTTATCTGCTCATGACTCAGATTGCACCAAAAAATCAGCTCATTCGCGCATCTGAATTTGATCACGCAACGAGATGATATTATGCTGACTTGCCGGTAATTCCAAAAGCTTCAAACCATACCAAGTTCTCACGATAACAAGCGTGCGCGCACACACACGATCGCTTGTGAAGATGGATTGTCTTATCATAGCTGATAGCTTGTACAGTCTGTGATTGGTTGTTTAACACGGAACGCTTGTACAGTCTGTGATTGGTTTGTTTTCGCTCGCTTGTGCAGGTGTGATTGTCTTATCATACTGCTGATCGCTTGTTCGGCACATGCCGCTTGTACAGTGTGTGATTGGTTGGTTGTCGCTCGCTTGTGCTTGTCTGATCCCACATGATTGCTTGTACAGTCTGTGATTGGTTGTCACACACACATCGCTCTCGCTTGCGTGTTTGCGCTATTAAATAGTCTTGTCATTTATTGTTCAGTCCAGTTTTAAATCTGAATTTTGTTTTTTTTTACATAACAGCAACAGAGTCGATTTACGGCCAGTTGTTTCGTAGTGAAAACGTTATTATTTGGTGCGCTATCGCTCGTAGAGGCAATTAACGGCGCGCGATTTTTAATAACTTTACGATATGTTATCTGTTAAGGGGCGGTGATAAGGACTCTTATCGAAATTAACCCGCGTTGTGGACAATCAAAGGAAATTGTTTTATGCTGATTCAGGGACTCTCTTAAACTCCCGACAACAATCGCTTCCATTAATACAAATCATGACGCATGAAAAGCAATATAGACTTTATTAACATGAATTTACAAGTAAGAGTTACGCATAAGAATATACGGCTGTCGCTAACAAATAGAAATGATAAACTTGAGAAATATTTGTGTCACAGCAATTTTGTTTTCTTTCTGCGCCTTTCATAAGGCGTCTGGCGTGTTAAGATTCGTAGCGATTTATAAGAATGTGTTAAAGCGTTATTTCTTTCTTTGAAACGGACAAGGAACGAAATTAATCGCTGTTGTGGCGATCAAAGTAAATTGTTTTATGCTGATTCAGTACCTCTATTTTAAACTCCTGACACAATCACGACGCACTGAAAAGCAATATAGACTTTATTTAACATAAATTAGGGGTAATAATCCACCTACGGCCCTCGCTAACACGCAGAAATGAAATGTTTGTGTTACAGTAATTTTGTTCTCTTTCTACGTTTTTCTTGAGGTGTCCTGCGTGTCACGATTCGTAGGACCGGCTTATGTGCGATTTTTTATAAAATCGCCGTTTCAAGGCCGTTTTAGGGAGTCGGCCTATTTGCGATATAGGCGTAATTTCGAGTAAATACGGTATTTGAAAATTAATATATTCTTACTAATGTTTATTTCAACTTTGAGGCATAATCATTTATAACAAAAAATTTCTTTATAGTTGCAGTGTGGCTGGGAATGAATGACATTGACAATGAAAATGAATGGAAATTCATGGATGACGAAATGGTCAATCTGTCGCCCGATTTTGGGGGTAAGTTAAAGACTTTGCTTTCACCTAACAATCTATTTAGTAGAAATACTGGACCACATATCTTGATAAAATCCATCTGGTAATTATACTGTATGTGAATTTAATTTTTTAATCTTCATTTCTATGTTTGCACTTTTCTGATCATTGGCATGCATAAGGTAGTATTTTGAAGACCACTCAATATGAGAAATGCTTAGTTTAAGTAAATATCTTCATCTAGATTCTTTAGAATATCTTCACCTACATATCTTCAACTTGACTTATTCCACACCCTGTTTATATCTTCCCTCCTTTTCGGCACAACTTCATTTGATCTATTTTATATATTTAAAAAAGATACATTAAATGATCATTTCTTACACAGATATGACATTGAATAATACTTTACCATGGTACGCAAAAAATATCACCCAGGGTGATTATTGGTGGTTTATTTGGGCACATGGATATTTTGGAAACTTCACAGAGAATGAAGCCATGTGTACGAGGTTAAATGGAACACTAGCTAATATTAAATCAAAAGAAATAAACGATGCAATTGCAAATAATTTCAATGTGAGTTGATTCTTTTATATTGTGTATGTTCTACTTTTCGTATTTTATAGTAAATACATGTTTACATCGTTATAATATATAAGATATTAATTTTTATTTAGTTGATTAATTTCATAAATCAATTCAGGGGCTCTATGACATATTCATGAAGGAAAATGAAGAATTAAGAAAGGGGATTGAGTTTGGTATGTGGTTCTTCAATCTCAGAGGAGACGAAAAAGATTTATCAATTTGGACCCAGGGCGATGGTCAACGTGTATTCATACACAGCGCATGGTATCAAAAAATGAGTCTGCCTGTACCAGACAGAGCAAACTTTGCTTGTAAGTTCTACCTGATGTTTATGAATAATTAGGTGGATTGTGACAGCAAATAAGACAAAATTTTGTGTACCAGATATTCTCGCATATACGTCGATCGCAAATATAAGCCGACTGTCTAAAACCGGTCTTAAAATGGCGATTTTATAAAAATTCTCATTTAAGCCGACCCTTCGATTCGTAACACGCCGTACCGCACCTATCACAGTCAAGGATATCGAAGTATTTGAATACTTTTTCGGCTGATTTTCGAATATTAGCCACTTTTCGCCTGCATCGCGGTGTTTCGTTGTAAAAGTTTTCAAACGAATTTTAGCGCTTTGCCATGTAATGACGACGATAAATAAAATTGGCACTTTGCTTGTTTATCTTCTGTGCGACCCTGCGTCTCATATTGTTGCGACACATTTGCATGGTTCTGGGTTGGACATTGCCACCATTTCCTTGCAAGGCTTCTTATTTTATATTTATTTCCATTACGTCGCAAAATTGTATTGTTGAAAGTTGTATCTCTGTCCCGTAGAATGTAAGAAGCTATTTCATGTATGGTCAGGACTGAAAAGATATTATCGGTAACAACATTTGAAGTGTGCTTTTTGATGTTTACACAAGGCGAAAACACTAGTTCTATTATTAGAATCGAGTTGTATCTCTGTCCATAGAATGTAATAAGCCATTTCATTTATAGTCATGACTGAAAAGATATTATCGATAACAACATTTAAAGTGTGCTTTTTGATGTTGTCACAAGAAGAAAACGGCAGAAAATGTTAGTTCTATAAATAGAATCGAGTTGTATCTCTTTCCTGTAGAATGTAATAAGCCATTTCATGTATGGTCATGACTAAAAAGTTATTATCGGTAATGTAAATATTTCAATCCTTATGGAGATAATAGTCCTTATCAGCGCCACTATAAAAGATAACATATCATAAAGATGATTAAAAGTCGGGCGGTGTTATTTGCGTTACGGCGATATCGCTCCAAATAATGTATGACATATCGGAAAGATGATTAGAAGTCGGGCGGCGTTATTTGCGTTATGACGATAGTACAATCACAATGGTACAAGCGATCACATCTCATTTCGTTTTTTAGTGTGATCTGAGTTATGTGCATATAAGCCGGCCCCTTAGTTTGGCAACTTATTTTTGGAGTTTTAAACTTGGCTTGTATGCGAGAATATTCAGTATTTATTGCTTGACTGCTTTAAGATCCTAATTTTGTGTCAATGCACTATTATACTAGGGATTTTGGTTATAATGGGTATCCATTTCTGTTTTATTCGTATTTGTGATTAATCTTACAATTTTGTTTCCTAAATTCTTGTTCAAATTGCATTTGAATATTCATATTTTATTGATTATATAGTAGAACAATCAAGGTTTGAGTGTAATTTTTACAAAATGGTATATAAAGTAACAGTATTTAAATTGGAACAAATAGAGACATATTTCGGACCTCCTGATGTATGCGCACCAAGATGGCGCACAACCTGAACTCAGGTTGTGTACCAGATTAGGGTTCAGGTTATGCGACATCTTGGTGCGCATACTTCAGGAGTACCCACATTTCAAATAATACTGTCAAAATTCAAGTTGTTTATCATGTAATTGAATTAGCGGTCTTTTCCATCTAATATTTTTTTGCTTTTAGCTTCACATATGTCTTTTATTCTAAACTACTTTACAAACTTTTGTCTAGCAGTCTATATTGGGAGGCAGCAGGCATTGGAAATGAAAATCCATACTTGCTATTTTCCTACAATATTTTAAGAAATATTTTTATATATATATATATAGGATTAATACTCACATGATACTTGTACTCATTTTATATATTCTTTAACAGCTTGACAAAAGTAATGTATCAGGAAACTGATATATAGTTACAATGGAAGGAGCGAAAGTAATTTTAACAGCACAATGTGTATAATCATCATAAGGTTGCTAGTTTGTTCCGATTGGCAATATGTGCATTCTGTGCAATGCACCAATTAAATTTAAAATTTGGTGTTATATTTCTTCAAATCATTTCATACATAATTCATAAATGTTGAAAACGGTTTATTAGATTATTCATACAGTATACTTAATAATACATCTGCATTCTTGCTATATTCAATTTGTTTTCCATTAAATCAAATTATTTTGCAATCAAAATACAAATTTGTTTTTAGCATTTCAGGCATGGAAAAAATCATCTGATCCTAATGGAAATTTAGGAGACATGCGGCAACATTGTGGAGCTTTGATAGAAAGTGATGAACGAATTGCTCATTTTGAAGGAGTAAAACAATCTGAATCTTGTCAAAAGGGTAGGTCTATTCAATAATTTATTTTAGTGATTAAAGACCAGAGTGGGCAAGTTGCCACTTCCAGACTTGGCACAAAAAGTTAACCATTATTAATTAATGTTAAAATATTTTGTACAATTCGAAATCATGTTCTCAATCTTAAATCACTGTGCTATGCATATGCATGTGCCTTGATTATCTTGTATAATTTCTTTTGAGTGAAGTCCGAAATATTTTTATTCGGCCAATTGTTTCAATTATATCTAATCTATCAGAAATTATTCTATTAATAGCATTTATACAATCACACAACGCTAATCAGCCCAACGAAGAGCTAGAAAAAAAGTTAGAAACTTGTGGGGCATCAGTAGAATATAATAATTGGATTGATCATTTTTGTGAAGCAAAACTTCCTCTATTATGTGAAAGGGGTGAGTTTTATACTGTAGTGTTTTTGCATAATTCCAAGAAAGATAGCTTACAAATTATTTTTTTTAGATTATATGAAAATGTGAATACAAACATTTAATTGTATTCCTAATTGTTGATGCTGTTGATACCTCATATTTTTTATACTTATATTTGTACGAATTCTCCAGCATATTTAACAGCATTGAACAAAATGCAATATCCAAATATATTGTAAAACATTATTGAATAATTGTAGACTAACCAGCTAATTCCATTGATTTACAATCAAATGCGAGTAACTGTTTTTATCAAGGTCCATACCCATTTGAACGATGGCATCTGCGTGGATCTGAAGGATCTGAACCAAATAATGCTTGGTGTGATGAACATTGTGGTGGAATAAAATTACTTGTTGACCCTTTTATGTGGAATGATTATCATTGTCACAAAAGATTTCCTTTTATTTGTGAAGTTGGTGAGCTAGACAACTTGTTTCTCTACTATAGTTACTAGGGATGTGCCAGGTTTCGGATCCGGACTCGAATTCGAGTCGAATCCAGGCATGTTTTGGACTCGGATTCGATTTTGAGTTCACGTCGTTTTTACCGAGTCTATAATCAATTCTGTTTTTACTAATTTACGCCTATGTTTGTACTTTTACCCCTATAAATCTTACTACATACCTTAACTAGTTGAAATTCAAGGTTAGATATGTAACAATATCACTAGTGTGTATTATGAACACTCCTTATAAAAACGACGACAGATATCCAGATAATATAACGCAAGTTAAAAACTATTGATAGCTTATAACAATGATGCGCCAGTCACCTTCAAACTATCTATCCTTTTTGGTATACATGTGGTACACAATAAAATATGTGTTAGCGCAATATTTTTGCGTTTTCTCGATAATAAATATAAAACATGCGCAGGATCAACCCAAGGGGGAATCTCATCAATACCTCTTTCAAATCGAGTTTATTATGTGCAATCCTTTTTCTAAAAAGGGAGCAATGGAAAGCATGGAGCGTTTTAGAACGTTTACATGAACTACTAAATTGCAAGCATTGTACTGACGACAAGTGGCATCTCTCTACCATTTGCACACGCGACATAGTAAATTCAAGGCTAGAAATATTTGGAATTATGGGAAAGCATTGTAGTCAAAAGCTTTTTATATTTCATGTAAGAATTTCTAAATAGCCGCCCAGAATTGACGCAAGGTGGTGGGCTGGAAATCCAGTTCACAGCCAAGGCGCACATTGACCCACGTTTACATTATGGCCGCCATAAATGAAGAATAATATATTTTTAAATTGATTAAACAGCTATCTGCGGAACCATTAGGCAAAAAATATGAGCTACCACGTATGTTTGTGAGCGCACGATGCTGTAGTATGGTCAAAAACATGTTTTTCTACTTTTACATTGTCGGACATCACGGACTCGGAGGATTCGACTCGAGTCCTTGACCTATTACTCGGATTCGTCGAATCTCTGTAATGCCGGACTCTCATTAATTCATGTTTTTTCACTAATCTCAATGTTACATTTTATCAAATGATGTTTTTTAAATTACTGTTTATTTTAAGATCTACCATATTCTTGCACATACAACCCTCCTCTGGATGAGAATTGTATCTCAAATGTATTTTTGGAGGTATGTATATGTATATATATATATCATATACAGTGTATTTCAATCCCATCAAAACTCTGATTAAACAAACACTGCATTGGAAAAGTAATTTATTTTCTTGTTATGAATTGACTTATCTTTTGCACAGGCTGGGTGTGAAAAAGAAGGCCATGGCCCCACATTAGACTTTAGTCTTTTGGCAAACAACACAGTAATTGAACTTTTGAACAAGTTTAAAGATTTAAAAAAATTGGCCGATGCAGATAAAGATAGAGGCATTCAAGCTGAAACCTGTTATAAACCTGGTTTGTTTGTCATTACACTTTATTGATTTATTCAATGAATGGCGGTTGCATGAATCATATAAACTATTTGAGCATATGCAAAGCCTTTTGACTCATAGCAAGGGTAAAGAAAAATGTGGATTTTTTTTCCAGATTTCAATCTTAAACAGCCTGAAATTACTGATATAAACTGCAAGCTTGCAGCTAACAGAACAAAGCTCACGTCCAGGCAAACTTGTCACATAATATAGCTTTATTATATTTTAGTTTCTGTTATTACAGTATTTTACTGTTTACTAATTAGGGTTGGGCACTTTGATGTAAGAATATGTAGCAAAATTCAATGAAGAACTTTCAGTTTTTTCTTTCAATGTAATATATTTTTGAACAGCTAAACTAAAATATTTATTTTGGTTTAGAATTCAGACCAATAACTTTTCCTAATGGTAAAGAAGTAGAACTTCTTTTTCATGTCAAAAATGAGACATTTTCCAAAGCTGAATCATTTTGTGAAGATAATGATGCTGTGCTTATTGTGGTATGTGTATTTAATTTTCTTGTCACTATTGAAGTACAGTGATGGATTTTTACAATAGATAAATCTTTCATGCTGTAATATCTATATCAAAATGTTCTAATTTTAGATTAATGATCGTTATGTGTTAGACTATGTAACACAAAAAATCGAAGGTGCTCAGGAAAGTGTTGGTACAAAATATTGGTGGGTTGGAATGAGTGATAGAGACGCTGAGGGTGAGTTTCATTTCATTCAGTTCAGTTACAGCATTTTTCATCAATTACACCGGTGGTCAGCAAACTTTATGTACTTGCGAGCCAAATATCCACTTTTCCGGTAGCATGAGGGCCGCATTAATTTCCACCTATGAACAATCTCTACATTTAACTTCAAATTGTGGCACACTTGCTGTATTAAAAGCCTGCCACAATGCGACGTACATGTGGCCTTTCTTGTATATATTATCAAACAATACATTATTTTTATTCACTTATTAACAATGTGAAGGATGATGTTGTTTCTGTGTCCTGGGCAAAACGGCAACTTTGTTGGCCTGCCGTATGTTGTTCAAATGATGATCTGACAAGCGAGTACAAAATTTATTCTTAGTGTAATGCATTTTAGATAAAGCTGCTCACATCGATATATGCTTTCAAACCTGCAGATTATACATTTTGCACTGTCGCACAGATGAGCAGTGGCGCAGCCCGAGATCTTGGGGTCGAATTTCATATTTGCAATGACACATTTAAAAATCTCTTAATACCTGTGATGCTGACTTGGCATATCACGCAAACTGGTTTTGAAATGGGCGAGAGAAAAAAAATTTCCGTTTAAACACTTTGGATTTTGAAATGTTCGACCGCAAACTTCCCTTTGTTTTCCAGACATTTTTAAATTTTAAAAATCAAAATATACTCAACTTATAATTACGACCAATGATGGGCCGTTCGTCAAGTAAACGACTTTCAGCTGACACTACTTCAAACAAGCAACGTACAGCAGCACTTGTTACCACATAAATCCATACGAAGATCAATTTTTGTTTTATGCATTAAAAGTCGTTAGAAGGCCGCAAAAAAATTATTTCGTGGGCCGCAGTTTGCCGGCGCCTGAATTAGACTTTTACCTTTCTGATATCAGTTTTCAAATTAATTTGTTCATATGTTCAACCCACGAAAATGTGTTTTGCCTTTATATTTACTTTAAATATTATATATCTAGGTATTTTTATATGGTCACATGGTGAGCCGTTTGATTTTGATTATGCTCGTATCAATCTCTGGGCAAACCAAAGTTCAATTCTGGAATCAAAAACTGAGAAATCGAAAGATTGTGTTGCTATGGATCCGGAAGTCAATATGACCTGGTTTGAAGATAGTTGCTCATCTAAAAATTCGTTTATCTGCATGAAAAGTAAGAGTTTAATGTGTTTTCAATTAAGCAAGATTGTATGAAATATTATATGATGTTTCCGTTTTTAGGAAATTGCGATTTTCCTGCTACTCACACCTACTTTCATCGAGACCTGTGCGTTTACTTGCAACATGATCCCAGAAGAAGAGAACGATCAGCTTATGCTGTTAATAAAAAAACAGCAGTAAAAAATTGTGCAGCAAGTGGAGGGTATTGATACATTCAATCAAATTCTTATTACTAGATCATTACTATCACAAATATGAGCAATGTTTGCTGAATCCTGCATGTATGGATGTTTCAACTCTTATGTTTAATGAGCTATTTGCCATGTCCATGTGCCTAAAAATAGCATTAACTGTTTCTCATATCTGACCTTCATTGGTGAACAAATGAGAGTGTTTCGGCATGTCCTTGCATTCTTCTCTTCCAGGATAAATATCAAAATCCTATGCTATATACAGAAACACAGTATGGTTTTTTCTAATGGTTTGTTATTTGTGAAATCATGCAGGACATTACACTAATCTCATTTTATGAAATTTAGCAACTTGCTTGTTGTAGAAGATGAAGTTACCAGGAAGTTTTTGCATAGAATAGCAGTGCAACATCCAGGCAGTGGCTATCATCATACAACAAGGTTTTATTTGTATGAATATAAGTTCATTACATAGTATTTACGTAGATGGTCGTTTTAAATTTTGTATATGTAATTAAGGTTTTGGTTACCATTGATTGACCATGTCAAAACACCTTATCGTATAAATGCTTCTGAAAGAAATTGGATGTGGAAAACAAGCAACGAAGAAAAAATTGCTGCAAATCTTCCAGAGTTTATACAAGGTCTTATTATTCTCATTCAACTTCTAATTTGTGTTGAAGAATTGTTTATCGTGTTCTTTTTTATTTTATTCAATGACCATATTGCGTTAATCACTTTTGCAGATGGCATATTACTAGGTAATTTGGGTCAGGAAAAAGATGTCAAAACCAAACTACCATACAAAAGAAGGTGTGCTTATGGGGACCATCAAAAACATGTTTATGGAGATATATCTGGAAAGTTTGATAAACATCTGTATGTTCGAAGGTAGCCAATAAAATTTCCACCTATATATAAAACCACGATATATTTGAGTTGTGCTTTTCAAGTATCGTGGTCTATGACTATTAATACTTATTATTGACTATTAATAATTTTTAGCAAGTCATGTCAGTTTAACGAACGTGGAACTCTAGAATGGGTTTGGACATCAACCTATCATTTACGTCATGTTTCGACGGGATTGTGTTTGACTGCTCCTTTCGAAATAGAAGATGGAGCAGAAACAGGTAAATCAAGATAATTCACTCCCAAAATTTTAAATAAAAAATAGATCATCTCATGGTATTTTAGTGTTGAGAAACCACTCTATTTCCAAAGATTGTATTAGGAAATGATATGACTTGTATGGCTAGCATAAAAAAATAAATCATTTCATGATATTTTCTGTGACAGTAAAACCCAGTTTACCTATGTTTCTGAGTGCCCACCAAAACACTTATTGTAGTACCTACCCATACCTCAATCTAGTTTGCAAGTGCTTAGTTGTAGTTCACTGACTACATACTGTTATTCAAATATATTGATAATTCATTTTAAGATTTTGCTCCTGGTGTGAGGGTCTTACCATGCAACTACACCAACGATCTCCAGCATTGGGTTTGCAGATCAAAGAATCCATTTCAGATAAAACTTCGAAAATATTCATACAGTTTATTACTGGATAAGGTTATTAGAATTGTCCAATGTCTATATATTTCATAGTTGGGTTAAAAAAGTGGTAATAATTCTATATCACTCAAACTAAATATTCTAAAATTTTCAGTTGTTGATAATTTTTTGTTTATTGTCTGAAAAAAATATTATGCTAAACTTTGTTAAGAATATTAATTCAAACTACTCAATCCATTTCTTAAAAGACTTCATGAAAATAACATTCTTGATCATCATTTAGATTGAACCATATGATCGAGTCCATATAGCAGGGAGCTTTTATGAGGATGGATGTAAGGCAATGTGGAGAACTACATCTACAAACCGATATATCTGTGATGAACGATATCGACCTGGTGGTATGTTGTTCTTGAGTTAAATTGAAAGTTGGTTGAATAAACAAAAGATTTGTTTCGAGAAGAATTTTACAAAGTGGATTTTTTTTAGAAAATCTATTTGTTGTGAAGAAATCAGGTGACTTGCCTCCAACAAATATTGGTGATAACTGTGAGGAAATAGATTTCAAAGGAAACGAAACATTTATTGATGAAGACGAAGCTCGTACTGCTTGTTTCCTACATGGTAGTGACATTTGATAATTTTCATTTTGAAATTTTTGATGAAATGGTAGGATGTTGTAATAATATTATTTTTGAAAAGCATTTGGGTTTAGATTTTAATATTTTAAACAATCTGAATTACATTTTAAAATAACTACCAGTAGTTATTATTTTTAATAAATTATATTGTTGAACAATATCAGGGGGTCGTATTGCACGGAGATATGATTTCAAAAATGCTGAGAGAACAGGGTTCACTGAGGGTTGTGTATGTGGAGGTACAAAAGATATTGACCAGAGTGGAATAATGAAAGTAAAAGATAAAAAATGTTCAGAAGAAACTAAAGGAAGTGGGATTTTCTCTTGCAAGAATGATGGGAAATATGATACTGTTTGGTGTTATAGGTATTACCTATTTATTGATGTATTATTTATAGTCTTTGATTAATATAATGCAAATACATTTATATACTGTGGAATATGAATATATTTATCTTTAAATCCTAATTTTGAATGGAATATAAATTGCTCCAACTAAACATCTCATATTTAATAACAGGGGAGAACAACATCACAATGTGTATTACAAAGTTCAATATGCTCCATGGTGTGTTGTATTTGCTGCTCTAAACGAGGATAAGGTTGGATTTCAAGAAAGAAGTTGTCTTTCCACTCATTATTATGCTTGCCAGCAAAGTATGTTGTCATTTTACTGGATAATTTTATTCATGTGGTTTTATTATGCTTACAACATGCGTGTTAAAAACCAAAGAAATAAGTTGACAAAGGACTTGTAATACTTTTAGAAGCTATTAAAAAGGCATTGTTCAACAGTACAAACCATCCAGATGAATTGAAAATAATATGCTATACTATACACTTTCAAAATATGCCATCTCCATTTAGCCAATCAACTTATTTGATAAAGTTGTTTCTGTCAAACTGATTCGTGGGTCGCATAAAAGAGCTTTGGTCACATGTTTGTTACCTTTGCTACAATATTGTAAATTTTCAATTTTCATGTTATTGATTTCAATTGCAGAATTACCAAATACGTGTGGACCAGTCACTGTTCCTGTAAATGCTAGAACTATTCATGAAGATTGGAGAATTCAGAAACAGGGAGTTCTCATAAGATGTGATCCTGGGTATGGTATTGGTGGTGATCCAGATAAGCTGGAGGGAAAGCTCAATTGTATTGAACCCAACCCTGGTGAATCACCGATATGGGACCCTGATCCCTCAAGTTGGACTTGTGAAAGTAATCTAACTTTTTACTATATGCATTTGATTATTTCATGATTGAATTTTATTACGAATAAGATTCTTTTAAGAATTATTATTGTTTGTTATTTCTTGCCACTCATTAAATTCTTTAAATCACGCAATTTGTCTGCTTTTAACTATAGTGTAACAAATGTTTGCAACAAAAATTTTGGGAGATAATAGTTTTAAAAAATTAACTATGTTATTTTTTAGGACTTGCATGTCCAGACCCTCCAGATGTTGACAAAGCAAGTCTAGAAAATTCAAAGAAGAGTGGATTCAGATTCATGGATTTGATTACTTATAGATGTGATCTTGGGAATTCTATGGACCGAATTCCTAAATTGTTTACCAGGAACAGCACATGTAATGCGACACAGCAATGGGATCCTGACCCAGCATTATTTGAATGCTTAAGTAAGTAGAAAAATAGCATGCATAATATTTTAACAGACATTGATGTTGGGTGACTTCAATTCTTTTAATATCTGAGATTTCTCTAAACTGTTAAATTTTTATCTCAATTCTGTTAACAGTAACTGCCTGTGCTTTTCCACCTCGTGTTGCTCATGCCAAGTATATTGGAACAGATTTCATGTATCTTTCGGAGGTCGTTTACAAATGTGTAGATGGATTTTGGATAAAACGAGGTCTTCATAATGTAACAGGATTTATTTGTAATGAATTTGCTGAATGGATACCTGATCCAACCGAAGAAGTCTATTGTGTCTGTGAGTTTGTTATCACCCTGCTAATGTGCAGATCTTAACATTGCAAAAAATATTCGTTCCCACCTTATAAATTAATCTACTTTTTCAGCTTTAATGTGTCCCGAACCTCCAGAACCACATCATGGTGAAATGATAGTTACTAGCTACAGGTATATGTTTTTGTTGATCTAATGGTACTAACCGATTTATTATGGAAAGTATCGTAAATTATTTTGTTTAAATGTTGTCTTGTCTGAAATTGATCATTTACAAAAACTTCTGGAAACCATATTTCTGTTTACAGATATCAAGCAAAATTATTAATTATTTGTGATATTGGATTTTACCACATTGATCCAAAAAATATTATAAAATGCAATAAATGGGGTGATTGGTATCCTGATCCAATGGAATATTGGTGTCAAAGTAAGACAATTCATTTTTAACAAATTTAGTTTTGTGGTAGTCACTTTGCAAGGATTAAATAATATGTACCGGTGATAGTGTCGACTGTCATTACATTTTATTACTTATGGGTTGAAATGCAGTTATTAGTTATGTATTAAACGATTAAGATTAATGCATTTTTTATAATAAAGTTTATAATAAAGACAAATTGTTTTACCAGACGTATTAATTTTTTATCTAGATATTACCTGTCCAGAACCGACACAGACTGAGATTCCAAGTTATTTGAGCAGTGGAAATAGTACAGATTATCTATTTTCTCACGAGTTGCAATATATGTGCAATGAAACAGGTTTTATTTATTTTATATTTATATAAATATTTCTCACTATTTTGAGCTTTATTTATTGATAATATTGTAATTTGAGTAATCATAGTTATATTTTTCATGGTATTAATTTTTCTTATCAATATGAAAATAAAATGACCTCATCGAATTGGAAAAAAAAGAAAAACACTAAACTATTTTTGTTACTCTTAATTATAGGCAACATTTATTTGATGTATTGTATAACCGTATTTAGACTCATATCATCACATAATTTTAACATAATCATTTTCTTTGTATTGATAGGATATGAACTTCGAAACAGTTTTCAAATTTTTAATCCTCTTCGTCAAGAATGTCTTGGTGCTGAAGGTAAACAATTGATAACACTCCAAAAGTGTATATGGAAGGATCATAAGTATACATGGATTTGGGAAGGAGACTACCAGCTGCGGATTGTTGGAACTAGGGTAACTTTCTTTAAAGGGGAAGTAAATGATTACATGAACATGTTTTAAACAAAATATACTTATGTACATTTCAGCTCTGTTTAACCTTGGACAATAAAACACCACAACTATCTGATGGACAAACAGGGAATTTATTTTTAAAAACATGCAAAAAATCTGACAAAAGGTTAGTTTTGTTTATTTACTCTCTAAAATGGGCCACAGATAACTGATTGACAACTAAAAAATAACTTCCAAACAAAATGGTTAAAGGATAATGGTGGTTTTAACAGTTTTCTATATTTGATATTTATTCCAGACAATACTGGCATTGTCCTGTATCCAATGGTAACAGATTACTTCTAGCTGTGCGAGATACAAGTCCTCCTGTGTATATGAGGTAAACAACATATTTTAATTATCTGTTTAATATATTGGACTAAATAAGAGCACTGACATTATCTATAATCTTGTGTTTGTGTATTTACAAACTAAATACAGCCAATATGGAAATTGTGGTATTGAAATGATAAACAAAAATATAGACTTGGTTGTAAAATAGCATATTACTTCATCAGAAAATAAAACAAACTTTTTCAGAATGGTTAAAAACAAAGAAACGGTTGAAGCAGTATCGGGAGAAGAAAATACTGATCTATTAAGTAGTTGGATGATTCAAGATTTAATGAAAGAAAAGAGTATTTGCTCATATCTCGGTAACAATATATTTCTGTGTTTTATTCAAAATATCTTGAAAGTGGAGAATCTAATGAGTGAATATCATATTTATAACAGTAGAACCTATATAGATGTCAACTCTCAAAAAACATTACATTAATTCGATAATAGATTACGGTAGATTTTTTATATTAATACTAGAGGATGATGGGACAATGGTTCAATCAAATGGTCAATTGCTAAAAAATTCCTCATAAGCCTGCAATCCCACACAAGGTAATCAGATCCAATGGAGGAGAAGCTAGTGTTTCAAACTATTAGCATACTGCATTCGATATCAATAAATTAAAATATATATATTTTTTAAATATAGATGGTTTTCCAGCTGTTTCGTCTGAATGTACTAAGTTTGGATACTGGACTCCAACTCCTGCTGATATTGCTTGTTATATGCAACACTGTCCTGAACTTCCAGATATTCCGGGGACAACTCATGAACTTCGTAAGTATTTTTCTTGTTGAGCTTCACTTTGTGTCTTTGTCTTGATTTCTGTCTTGTTCTGAAGTATAAATTCAATTTAATCTAGGCTAAATCCAACTTGATCATATATATATGTTATTTTTATCCTCATTTCATCCAGTCACCCCTACAACACAGTATGGTGCAAGGGCCACTTACAAGTGTGGGAAAGGAAAATGGGTATCACAGGGCAATGTGGTTCAAACTTTTACATGTGATGACACAGGAAACTGGAATCCGACTCTGGATGTAATTAGGTGTATCGGTAAGGATATAAATATATTTTTTTTCATTATCATTTTGTACTAAAATTTGTATCTAACTCGATTATATTTACTTTGTTAGAACTTATTTGCCCACCGCCACCACCTGTGCAATATTCAGATATGTATGGTATATTATGGACATTTAGACAAACAATTACATTCAAATGTGCTACAGGTATCGTGTTACTTTGCATATTTTATTTGATGGCTTATATAGTTAGCTATTTCTTCTGTGTAAATTTTTATTTTTTCGAATTTTTAGGTTATTGGATCTCAAAAAATGTGTATGAAAAGTCATCCAACTGTACAGAAGATGCCCAGTGGAATCCTGATCCATACAATATTGAGTGCAAACGTATGATTTCATTTGATTATCGTTTTTCATGTTTTCTTTTTCCAGATTAATGCTTTTTTTTTCAATATTTAGCTGTTGAATGTCCTGATCCTGGTGATTTACTTCATGCATCATATGAATACAAATCATTTATTGGATATGGAATGGTAGTTGGGTATGCTTTTTATTGCTTGTAAAACGAAATTTCATGTTTTTACATTTTTGTTTAATTCTGGCTAATAGCACTGTGACAGAATTGAAGCTTTTGTCGATTTTTTATTAGTAGTCTCTATCTCATAAATTGTAAACTATGTTTCAGATATACTTGTGACAGAGGATATTGGTTCCAACATGGTGAGGTTACTAAAGGAATTGAATGTCAATCAGATGGAACATATAAACCTCAATTCAGGCAACTTACTTGTATTGGTATGTTACAAACCCACCCCTTTCAGTATTTTTATGTCATTTTGTATCTCTGTATTTATTTAGAGGTGTATAGGGCAGTCGTGATAACTTTGTTAGTGCTTCGATATTACTGCATATAGTCTGAATTTAACTATTAACTTTTTGTATAGAGGTGACTTGCAACGCACCGAACTATGTACCATCTGCTCAGAATGTTGACCAGAGTAAAAGTGCATATCACATTTATAAACTAGGTGAGTGAAATCAATAAACTTATTCAGTTCTTCATTGTGATTGTGTATTAGAGATTGTGATTGTGTATGTATGAGGACAGTTAATCAGTATATACAACTAGCAGCATTGTAAACCACATGCCGATGGCAAAGAGTTCAGCAAATCATTTGCTCAGTATGCATAGTTTATGGTCAGAACTTTATTTTAAACCCTTGCAATACTGTATGAAGAAATTTCAATTGTAAAAATGTTTATTTCAGCCTTATACAACTTGAATTCTTTAAAAAAATACAGAATAAAATTGACGAAATTTGATAATATCTGGCTCAAAATATTTATTTTCTACAAAACTGTTTGTAACACTCATCTATTCACAAAGTTGATAAAAATAGACAACTAAACTATCATCTCCGATTACAAAATTCCAATTACAAATCAACTACTACATTTATGTATTTCATATTGTTTCTCTATTGTTTTCTTTATAGATGACAAAGTCACATATAAGTGTTATAGTGGCATGTGGATTTCACCTGGTAAAGTTACTGCATCAATAACATGCCAAGATGACGGACAATGGTTTCCACCACCATCTAGTATCAAATGCAAATGTGAGTATATCTCTTTAAAAAAAAATAGTTTTGCTTTGCCAAACTGAAGAATATTATGTGTTATCTTGTTTATAAGCACAGTGCGCTTTACCGCCAATAGTTTGATGGAATTTACAGTTTTGATAAAATATTTGGCAAAACAATTGTTTTTTAACTGTTATCACAATGCCAATCAATACCCAATTTAAGCTTCAAAATTTGTTTTGCTGTCCATACAAAATTTATAAAGAGAGGTACCGATAATTTAAAAAAAAAAAATTTTTGCTTCTGTTTGTCAAAATTATCCCTACTGGTGTTTATTATCAAATGGTGTGCATAAAAAATTTCCGATTAAATTATTTTACAATAGAGGGTTTTGTCAGAGTAGATTAGGGAAAGATGTAGATGTTGATGTTTTGGTTTTAAAATATCTGAGAATGGAACATTATATAATATATTCATGGCCAATACTTGAATTCATGTTATTACCTAGGCATATAGGGCAAATACTACATAATTAAATTTCATTTAGCTGTCAAGTGCGATGTTCCTGATTCTGTTCCAAATGGAGTAATTGAGGAGGGACACAATTATGTTGGAGCAGTCCGTAATATCAAATGCAATGAAGGCTTTTGGATTGATCAAGAACAAACTTCAATGGAATCATCTATAGAATGTAGTGAAAAGGATGGTTTGTGGCATCCGGAAAAAGTGAAATGTCAAGGTATATGCCTACTAAAACAAAATAAAGTTTTTTGTGTGTCTTCCACCTGATACAAGTACACAATCACATTTTTTTTATTTTAATATTGGGTATAATATTCACTCAAAGTTAAAAATAAGTGCTACAATAGTCAAAGTTGAAAGATACTATGTAGGCAATTTTTTTTAAATGAAAATCATCGCAATATAACCAACCTGTCATTTACTTGTTTTTCAGTTACTAAATGTCCAAAACCTGCTATTCCAAAATCGGCCCATATATTAGTGAAAACCGCTTTTACATACAATGAAAGTGTTTTATTTGAATGTGATATGGGACATGAACTAGATGTTGATGAGAATGCTATAACTATGTTTTCATCCATTTGTCGAAAGGATGGTACTTGGACTCCTGATTATTCTGAAGCTGTTTGCAAAAGTAAGTATTTTATCACAAAGCAAATGAATGAATTGTTATTTTTGTTCTATATTTTTTTTTAATTTGAATAAAATTTAAATTTTTGATTCAACTTTCAGAAAAAATATGTTTATTCAAACAAGAAAGATCGCTTCACTCAAGAATGAGTAGATCGTTAAACAGCACATTTTATTACAATGAAACTTTGACAGTAACATGTGATCATGGTTATTGGTTTGCCTCTGAAGGAGGGAAGAGAATGGTTGACTTCTATTGTGGCCCAGCTGGACATTTTATACCAGATCCAGAGTTTACTCTTTGCACAGGTTTTATATCTTTGTTCTGTTTTTGTGTTGTTCAAAATGTTGCCAAGTATTTAGACTTTTGGACTGCATGTCACTCCACTGATATTTGGTCACAATTAGTATAATTACTTTTAATTAATTAAAGCTTTAAAGTTGATTACTGATGAAATGATTATTCACCAGCTATTGTTCAATTTTATGCATTTTCATTTATTTTAGTTGTTGAATGCCCTACGCCAAAGATGCTTCCATATGCAGTGTTAAGCAGTGGTCAGTATTATTTTAACAGTACAATTCAGTACACATGTGTAACTGGTTATGCTGCTTCTGATATGGCAAGATCATGGGAATTTGTTTGTGATTCTCAAGGAAATTGGGATGGTGATATTAATGATGTCAAATGTGAAGGTAATATGTTGTCCAGTGTCGAATGAAATGAATCAATACATATTGAATTCTTTATCATAAAATCAAGAGCACAGCACTCCAATAAAATAATTTTCAATTCATTTTTTAACACAACTTCAAAATTTCTAATATTTTTTTTATCTCAACTTAAATATGATATATGTTTGAAAATTTTTTAAAAATACTTCTAGTTGTCAACTGTGGAGATCCCAGAGGCGTTGAAAAGGGATTTAAAATGGGAGAAGTTTACACATATGGGCATAATGTCATTTATACTTGTCATATTGGTCACTGGTTCAAAATATCGGTTTTTGAGATTACATCCCAATGTCAAGCTGATGGACATTGGAGCGATCTCCCAAGACGATGTTATTGTATGTATTAACATATTATATATACAAATGAATCACTCTCTGTAACTTATTGTAGTCTGTATTTATTATTTTTGGCATGACCCCTTGGATTAATTGCAGATTATATTTCCTATTTAGTATGTCATATTGTTCACTATTACAGTGCTCCAGTGCACAGATCCAGCAAGATTAGCCCAAAACGCAAAATTTTATGGGAAAGATTTTTCATATCAGAGTCTTGTTACTGTGGTTTGTAAGGATGGATATTACATGCGACCTGGTCAGTCACAAATTACAATACAGTGTGCAGAAGATGGACATTGGGATTTGAACATCATCCAATTCAGTTGCAGAGGTGATAAAACTTTTGGATGTTCTTTAAATATTAGCTTATTGTACAGTTTTGTAAGGTCATGGTGTTCCAATAATTTGGAAACTCATTAGTCTATTAAAAGTGCCCTGTCACTGTTTGCAGTGGCAGGAACACTTGAGCCATATAAACAAAATGACTCGACTTAGTCTCAACTAAATACTAAGGTTTCAGCAATAGATCGAAATAGGACTATAAGGTAGTCCTTGTCAATACAAAACTGAATCCTAGTTTAATATTTTATAAAATACTGGTTTCAGAAGGATAGTTTCAAGTGTCAATATGACTCATAATTACTGTTTATTGAATCAACTTTACTTGTTACTTGAAACAGTAGCGTTTTTGACTTGTGACGTGCATTACCTAATTTGTCTTGTAACTAATTGAATTTTTAAAAAATCTTTGGGAGTCTAACTTGACCCGCACGCAACTCTAGGCTTTAGGGCTTGTGCCCAAAACTGCATATGCGAGATTTGTCTACTCAATTGCAGGGGTCAATTAGTTTCCAGAGTCTACCGTAGTAGTTATTAAGATGTTTGTTTGGGGTGAATACCATACAAATTTGAAATTCAGGTAAATTTCCTTTTTATTTTTTTGAAATCAAAGTTTTCTATTAGAAGATGCGCCAAATTTGGTCCCACAATTTTAAGATTGTTCATTAGTGCATTTTGATATATTTTTTTTTCATTCCAGGTGTTGTATGCAATAAACCCCCGCATGTTTGGAACTCTGTTGCCATCGGCCATAACTATACATTTGGTGCATCTGTTAAATATCAGTGCAATAAAAACTACTTTTTATCTCGAACTGAAGATCATACTTCTGTCACTTGCTCATCCATTGGAAGATGGAGTCCAGAACCAAGTCGGATAAAATGTTTACGTGAGATGTTGCTCTTAGTGGTTTAGCGAATTACCGCCAGGTTGATTACATTCTTTGGCCTCAAGATGGCCTCAGTCACCCACATGATTACAGTTTTGTACATATTAAAATTTTATAACCAAATTTCTCTTTATTCATATTGAAATTATATTATCACAAAATTACAATGTTTTTAACAGCCAAAACTTCATTTCTTTGTGATCCACCTCAAAATCTTCCAGAAGAATCTTATTACTTTGCTGACAGCTTCGCATATGCAAGTATCATCAATGTGACATGTAGAATTGGATATTGGTTTTCAATGCAAAAACACAAAATGTCATTGAGGTGTAACATAGATGGCAGCTGGGAACCGAGTCCTTCAACTTTAATATGTCAAAGTAATCCAAATTTTAATTTAAAACTTACAGAGTGTAATGTGCGGTGAGCAATGTTTTTAATAGGTTTTTATATTATAGATTTATTGATCTTGAATTTTTTAAATAAACATGGATAAGTATGTCCTATTCAATTACCAATGCATAAAAGATCATATATTTTAATAACAAAAAACATACGATTTATTTAACATTTATCTATTCCATTTTATAATATTTTATTTACAGGAATAAACTGTGATAATCCAGATCCAGTCCCAGATGCCCATTATGTTGGAGGAGATAAAATGTTTAATTCTGTGAGGCATGTGCATTGTAAACCATCATACTTAATAACATTTCCCTCCAGATTTAGAGTAAGTTATGTTCATTTAAATATTAATTTCAATTAACTTTTATGTCAAAAAATAAATTATTTTCAGGCATTTAGTAGACAAATGAGCAGTTCCACGACTTCTATAGTTTGTAGTGCTGATGGAAAATGGCATCCTGATCCAAGTATAATATCTTGCACTAGTATGTAATTTATTTGTCTTTTTTAATATGTTTGAATTTGTACTTAAGTGTACCTCTCAAATTTCTTTTTATATAGTTTTCTCCATATATATAGTATATCGATTAACAATAAGATGTATCTGCAGAAATGTTGTAATGATAAACAGTGAAAAATATATTTTAATGTGAACTGTGTCTTTATCATAATTGTTGAACATAAAATAGCAAGTCAGTCTATAGGCTAAATAAACACTAAATAAACCCAATAAACACATATATTCAGATGGATATTGCTAATTAATGAAGCGACAAGATTATTTCACTTCATGGGTTTGAAGTTGGCTTGATACTTCATTCATTGAGGTTGTGTTTAAAATCATAATACATTATCTCAGAAAATGTTTGGGAGTTCAATCTGATTCTCAGATTTTAGGTTGATTTAAAAGTTTCAAGTATAAAAAATTTAACAGAAGTCTTTATAAAAATACTAGGGAAGGTTACAATTTTCCAGGAAGTTAAAAAAATGTATGGCTATTCATGCCTCGTAACCTCACTAATAGAAAAAGGTAGATCCTGTGTTTTATATATTGAATGACATGTCTTACAATATCTCATTATCTATGTTTAATCTCAGCTGTGAATTGCTCAGCACCAGTCATACCAAGTAATTCACTTATACTTGAAAGTAATTATGACACAATTCTTGACACCACCCTGACAATACAATGTGATGTTGGATTCTATATAAAGAGGAGGGTTTTATCAACGATGATAAAATGTACCAAACTTGGTGTCTGGTCACCTGATCCTCTTTTGATAAAATGTATTCGTGAGTACAAAATCTTCAATTCTTAATGATATACACTTTTCTTAGTGGAGAGAATTAGTTAGTTTTGTAATATACTGTTAGTTTGCATTTTCAAGGGCGTACATTGCGTATATTATAATAAATATATTTTGTTTAAATTATCATGTTAAAAGACCTTCTGTCTAAAATTACAAATAGTTAATTCCGGCTGTTCAAATTAACAGCCATTAGATGTGGATTTGCACAACAACCAAGAAATAGTTTGGCTTTTGGAAATGGAACCTCATATGGAACTGTGATCACTTATAAATGCGATAAAGCACATTATATTGAGACAGATAAAAAAGAAAAAATGAAAAATGTTCAAACCATCAAATGTGGAAAAGATGGTGATTGGATTGGAGAAGATTCAATTAAAAACTGTGAACGTAAGTTTTTCAACTTTGCTTTCCTATATTATTTACTTATCAATGGAGGATTGCATCAAAAATATATGCAGGGTATCCTAAACAAGCATTTCACATTGATTCTCAGTTCTGAATTAAATACAAAAATATAATATTACAGTTGTATCATGCAATGATCCTGGTTTTATCGATTCGTCATCGCGCATCATGAGTTCAAAGATTGGCTTTCCATACAGAACGATTGCACGATATACTTGTCAACATGGTATGAAAATTTGCTTTTTTTGTATCATGTGTGTCACAACTTTTTTAATAAGCCTGGACATTTGAATAGACTGGTAGTTATTTAAGCTAGTGTAATTCAACTTCTGTTATTCATTCTGTTTGAATGTTGGGGGGGTTCCTCGAGCCGAGCTCCACCAAATAGGATAAAAACCACTGGACTAGAACAAAGTTTAACATAGGCTTTTAAACTTAATCAAAATTTGTGACTTATTTTTGATAAATTTGTTATCACTATAAAGCAAATCTATACTAAAAATGAGTATTTCTTTACAAAATGACATTGTTTTTATCTGTCCCATTCCATTATATACAAAGTTTTTTCAAACTCAGATTTATACAGTTCTAATTTCTATTATTAAGGAACCTGGTTTCATAAAGGACACACTAATATTGAAATAAAATGCGATGAGCATGGTAAATGGTATCCGAGTGATGCTAGTCAACTTCCTCAGTGTGAAGGTAGGTAATGGCTTCAAAATATTTCTGAAATATGTAGCATGGTATTTTATTTGAATCATACTAAGAGTGATATTCATAATACATGGTGTATGAGCTAGGAAAAAAACTTTTGGGGAAAAATTTGAATAGTTTCGCTGTAAACTGTAGAATACTATACATATCATGAAAACAGACATTATTGTAACGAAAGGTTTTACCTTTTTTATTATCTAATTGGATTTCAGTTATATCCTGTGTAATGCCAACAGAAAGACCATTTTCTGAAATATCACCAAGTTTTGGATCACAGGACTTGTATTTTGTCGGAGAAAATGTGGTGTATACTTGCACAACAGGTTATAAATTTAAGGTATCACCACCTTATGGCTATTATTCAGCAACATGTCAATCAGATGGAACATGGTCAAAGATTTCTGATACGGTAGCATGTGAAAGTGAGTTTAAAATAATATTCCAGATTGTTGTGGTCTATACGTTGTTTTTAGGTGTATTGTAAACTTTTTTCCTTCATAGCATACATCTTAATATCCCATTCTGTTTATATTTAAATGTTTCTAAAATTATGTTTTCCCTTTTCTTATTGTTCATAACATTATCAACTTGTCAGAAATCGATTGTGGGAGCTTGCATGAGATTGAATTCGCAAGAATTTCAATGAGAGGAAATGATACCACGTTATTTGGTAGTGTTGCGGAATATTCATGTTTTGATGGATATGAGCTCCGACCAAAATACATTGCACTCAACAGCAACAGCTTTAAAACGAGATGTACTTCTACTGGACATTGGAAACCAAAACCTGTTCGCTATTCTTGCAAAAGTACTTTGATTTTTATAATTACGGTAATAAATTATGTCTCCATGTCTCCATAAAGACTTATTTCCAATTCATAGTATGTAATTTATGTTTTAATCAAACATTGTAAACTGGTAATGTATTTGTCCATGTATAATAATTTCATTGTTACATTTTTCCTTTAAAATCGAGAGAGTGCGTATGATGCCTTGATATTGAAAGATATTAACCGATATTTTAGGATTAACTGCTAATAATTTCCCTTAAATTATCCTTAAATATTTGAATTTCATTTGACAAAGTCTGTTTGAATCAGGTCATGTTTGTTCTAGTAGGACCATACTCAATGGAGGATCAGTTTTAATGAAAGTAGCAATCATTCTGAACAACTCATCAACTCATAAATCCCTTCATGTTCCTTAGATTACCGGTAATAATCTTCAAATTTGTTTAGTATTAAGGTGCAGTGAACTTCCTGCAATTATAAGACATGGTGTTAAACATGGTGATACTTATGAATATGGAAGCTTTGTATCATATGTATGTGACGAGGGATTCATTTTGAAACATCCTAAAACTGGAAAAGCCATGAGAACCATTGCTGTGGAATGTCAGAGTGATCTTCACTGGGATATTGATTTTTCAGACATCGAGTGCATAAGTAAGTTTGTTCATTTAGGCATGAAATCATCGCATTCACGCTAATATGTTTGTCATACGTCTTCATAATATTTTATAGCAGTTCAGATATTACTAGTCATTCATCCTTAAATTAATTTCATGAACTAGTATTTGTTCTGTTTTTCATGTGCTGCTTTGCAGGGATAAATTGTATGACACCATATCAGCCTAAAAATGCAACTCTTGTGGGTAAAAACTATAAATTTGATGCAGAAGTTAAGATAAAGTGTATCACTGGATACTTTTTCAATCAAAACTTGCAACCTGGATGGAATGAGCAAGTTATCAAATGCAATGCGGATGAAAAGTGGAATCCAGATCCATATACTTTTTCATGTGCACGTAAGACTAAAAGTTATGGAATTGTTTTTGCCTATGCTAATCAAATTTGTTTTAGTATTGGTCAAATCTACAAATCGCAAATAAATATCGAAACAAATCACATTTGTCAATTGTCAAACATACAATTATGTTTAGTTTAAGATTGTGTTTATATTTTTTTAGCTTTTGATTGTGGTGAACCGGCCATTGTATCTAACTCTGAAAGACATTATGAAGCAACAACTTTATATAATGCTGTCAAATACACTTGCAATAAAGGTAAATCTGATATAACCCATACTATTAGTAATTGAATCTCTTTTTTTATATTGTATCGAAAATTATTAAATGATGCTAATTATTTCATCATTCGTCATTATTTCATTTTTGCAGGTTACGTGTTTGATTTTGGCTCTGGTGGTCTTGTAGTCAATGAGCCTGCAGTACTTGAACATGAAGTGAAATGTAGTGCCCAGCTTGCTTGGCTGCCTGATCCATTATTGCTCAGGTGTACAAGTGAGTGGTATTATTCTTGTGTAATTTGCCATCAGTTAATCTATGTACCTTTCATATCATATAATTACTTGACTAATTTTTTCGTTTTTTTTACCTAATAATATAATTGGCTCAACTTTCGAATTTGGCTTGTATATATCACAGTATTGCACTCTGCAGTATTTCTATAGGTATCATGTAAAACAACTTTCAGCACCCATGCAGTAATGTACTGTACAAAAAGTGTAAAACAAATAGTAGTGCAAGCCAAAACTCATTGTATGTAAGCGTGTTGCTCAAATCAAACTTTGGTATTCTACATACTACTTTTTTGTTTTGTTGAGCATACAGTATATTTTACTTTAGAAATTCAATGTTGGAATCCCCAACCACCAGCACATGGATACATTGCTGGAGGAGAATGGATAAATAATAAACGGCATTTCTTCTATCTTGATGATGCTGTGGCATCCTGTGCCAGAGGCTATCTATCAGAGGAATCTCTCTTAACTATGAAAGCTACTTGCCAATACAATGGAGAATGGAGCAGGAATTTGACTAACATTAATTGCTTCCGTATGCTTGGGTGTTGTTATTATTAGCTATTACTATTATGAATTACTGTTTTCATCTTTACCGACAGAGGTTTTAATAATTTTGTTTATCTGATATGCACTTTTGACACATTTGTCAATCACATGCCAATCACATCAATTTTATGTTATATATACTATAATTTAACCGGGTATATTTCTTGACTGGCCTGGAAAATTTTGAAATTTTAGGGCTTGTAATTTTATTTTTGTAAAACTATTTTCTGACACAGATTTTATTGAAATATAGCGATATACGTTTTTTTTTCAATCATTGTTTGGAATACTTCAAGAAATTATGCTTTATCACTTTCATTTCAGAACTTTCTTGTCCCAATCCTGTTGATATTGCAAATGCCAATTTGGAATGGGGTGGAAGCACGAGATATTATGCCAAAGCTTTTTATACATGCATAGATGGCTATTTTATCAGACCCGGTGTTAAGTCTCTGACCACACAATGCTCTCATGAAGGATACTGGAAACCAGCGCAGTCATTTTCTTGTTCTCGTAAAAAAATATTTTTATGATGACATTTTTAACTTTAAATTTTTTGCGTACATTCTGCAGTTTGGTAACTTTATCAGATACAAAAAAATTGTAACAATTAGGAATTATGCCCTAAAATGATGCTATTGTTTTTGTTTTGTTTTTGTACTAAATTTCATGTTTATTATTCACTGAGCTAAAATTGATATTTTCATTCCAGGTGTTTTTTGTGGAAATCCTGGAATCATTTCAAACGCTGATAAAAAAGATTTATCTGGCAGTGGTAATTATTCACGCAATGCTGTTGTGGAATATCATTGTTTGAGTGGTTTAAATATAGCCCGAGAGCAAGATGCCACTGGTACTTGGGTGACAAATACAGAAAACGATGTTGAGCAATCTGTGAAAATCATTTGTTCAGAACATGGAAAATGGCTACCATCAGTTGACACTGTACACTGTACTGGTCAGTTAAATCTTTTGAATTCTTCTTGTAGTTGTAGATCAAGTGTGTATGAAACCAAACATTATGCCAAGCTTTTATTTCTTGGATAATCCCAGAGTCTAACACTGGAAAAACAATGAAGGATTTCATATCTGAAGATAGCATTAAACAAGCTGATTATGTTGAAGGTTTATCAAGTAGATCCAATTTGAACATTACATCACGTATGCAAACAATCCAACACACTGTTCAGGCATACACAGTTGTTGGTGAACACTGTCTGAACAACCAAGTAAGTCAATTACGATTATGTCTAAAAGTTTTCACATCTATTCTTACAGATATTACCACGACTTCAAAGTGAGAATAAAACTCATGTTTATTTGATAAATTAGTGGAATTTTATACACTCCAAATATTTTGTAAAAATAATCCAGTATCTTTACTATTTCTTGTGTTGATTTACCAATGTGCCTTGATTATCTCATCCTTCTATTTTGTTTGCAACCCAAGGTCATTATAATAAATGATATTGGACAATGGCTCCATCCTGAAAAAAAGGAAGATGTTTTTACAAAATTACATCCAGCTATAATTGAAGAAACTGGTGAATTATGTGATGTGTGGAACATGTTCGATAATAATCCAGATACGTATTGGATGCCACTGGAAGTAAATAAATAATTTCAATTTTCGAATACCGGTACTCTATTTTTAACTTATGTTATATTGATACTAACCTTTATTTCTTATCTTGTATATTCTGCCAAACCAGCTTCCTCCTGAAATCGTTCAAAGTTTGATATGGAATGGATGGAAAGCACAGTGGGACTTAAACAAAATCCATGCCATTGGAAGTATAAGACTTCACACGTCAGATAATTTTGTCAATGACGTTAAGGTACGAACAAAATTGATGAAAAATAAATTCGGTTGTTATGATATGAATGAAAATTTTCGCATTAGCATTCATAAATATTTCATTTAATATTTTGCAGGAGTTTGTTGTTGAATTCTCATCAAATCACGAAGCCTGGACCACAGTGGGACCATTTGATGTATATAATGGTTCTGAAAAGCGAAGTGCATTTTTTTATGGATTTGGACCAATTCAAGCTCAGTAAGTTTTGTAAATGATATTTTATTGAAATCATTAATTTAATATTGATTTGTGTTACAGATGTTAAACTTATTTTTTGTTTTTTTATTAATGAATACTGTTTGACAATATACGATGGAATGTAATACTGAATAATGCCTCGTCAATCTCTGTGTTAAAGGCCTTTGATTGCTTACCTGGATAAACTGTCATTTACAAATTTTATTGGCTTTTATCTTCTAAATTTTATTCAGACACATTCAATTGAGAGTGTTATCTACTGCACTGAATCAACATCCGATTATATCTCATTTTGCTGTCTATGGATCAGCAGTAGATTGTGTTACTGATGATTCAATAGCCTCTACAACTATGATTGTGCCATTGTTCTTCATTGGAGTTGCATTCATTTTTGTTCTACTTTTGAGAAAAGCTTTTGATTTGGATGTTAAAGATCGATGGAGAGTAAGATAGATATATACATTCAGACAATTTGGTGAAAGTGATGCGACCAGGGATTACCGTAGTTGTTTTTCTGATTTTATAATATATTTATATTAATATTTGTAGAAGTAGAAATGATTATGAAAAATAATCCAGAATCTAGTTCATTTATTTTTTCCCAAGAAATACTAATGTTTGCTTGCATAATAAATAAATTTTGCTTGCTTTTTCAGCGGTATATACTCTTTATACCCGCTAAACAACAAAATTATGACCAACCAGGGAAATCAAAAATATTTGAATTGAGCTTGACAACTTCATGGAAAAGACCACATTGTGATGTGGACCTATTGTTACGTGTTGTTGGTAACACAGCAGGTGACACAACGCCAATCATGTGGCTTCGGCATTCTTATGAAAGATTATTGAGGTTAGATTTGCAATATCACTTTTTTGCGTATATTGAACGATAGAAAAATTATTATATGGAAAAATATGAATAAAATTTTCATGATTGTTTTTAACAGGCCTGGCTTCACTGATACAATTGCTTTGTATTTTCCTTTTGATGTTAGTTTTGTTGAGAAAATTGATGTTGTTGCTATCTGTAAGCAAATGAAAACAATGCCAAATTCTCCATATCCAAGTGGAAATGTACCTCAAAGTGTAGTTGGGAAATCTGCAACAATTCCTAGCAGCATTCAAGAAAGTACTTCAAATTCATGGAGGCAAAATATCAACACCGAAATGCTACATGTTCTCGGATATATAGATGAAAGTTCTGAAGACGATGAATATACTGTGATAAGGATTGAAAAAATAGTTATAAGAGATCCTATAAATAGATCAAAAGCTTATTGGGAAAATGCTACCTCAAATAGGTTTTTTGGTCACATCGACTCTTGTCTGAAACATGGAATTCTTAAATCATTCTCTTTGCAGACAAGCCAAGATGGAGGCATTAGTCAGCATGTGCCTTCAACTGTAAAAAGCCTTATATATCATGTTAGCCGATTCAATCCAATTACTTGTGTTTTTTCAACAACAAGCAAACTCCAACCAATTGTGTCAAATTATTCAAGAGTTGAAAAAGCATTCATTGTGATATTTGTCATTTTTAATGATATCCTAATAGATTCAGTCCTCCATGGCATGACTGAACCATTGCTATACTTTGGGTCTGATCCACCTAAAACAACAAGTGAATGGTTTGCAGAATATTTTTCCAAATCAAAAGTATTAAGCATTTTCATTACAACTCTCATTGTGGTCTTCTTAACATCACTGCAAAAACGATTTTGTGGTAAATGGCACAGGTCTGTCGAAGACCCAGTTAGTTTTTGGCAATCCAGTCATCCATATCGTGCAATGCTACACATGCTAGTGATAAGCGTGATGCACATGTTTGATAGCTGTTCACAACATAGCGCAGATGGATTAGAAACCAGAAAATCTGATTCTTCTACAAAAAATTCTGGAGGTAGTATGAAAGTGGACAAGGGTTCAGAGTACACCAGAAGTATAACAATGGTAGATGAGTCTCCATCAAAAGAAGTTTCACGTGTCCGTTCCTTTTTAAGATCTCCTGTGAAGGAAAATCGAATGGGTGGTGAACTCCAGGTTAGAATTGTTATTATCTCTCTTCTTCTGTAATCGAAGGTCATCTGAGAGCCTTCGTGAAAAGTTTTTTATAGAACGAAGTATAAAGCCACTTATTATACACAAAAATTTTGAGAATTGTTTAATTGATTGTGGTACACAAACTCATATACATGTTTAAAATCACTGTTTCCAAAATTTTAAAAAGAAGTTATTGTCAAAAAAATAACAAAATCACAACTTCAATTGCGTGTATATTAAAACGAATATTGGAAGCATTGCCCAAAGGGATCAGATATGCCATCTATTCTTGTATCAGTTTCCCAATTACACGCCTTACTTTTCAGCAACTGGGTCCGAAAGATGTTGACATATCATTTTCAAGTGGAGATGGAAGAAACTCTCCTTCCTCGCATCCGGATAATATGTCCAAGAATGTAAACACAAAAGGGGCAATTAAGGATTCTGAACAGGAGTATAGGATGAAACAATTATATGGGAATTTTCCCAAAGTGAGCCGTGGTCCAATCATAGGAGATTTCATAGATCTTCCTTCAAAAAGTGTCCAGCGATGCATTGATCCGATATCAAATGAACAAATCAATGATGAAATCGATGTGGATGTTTTGTCATCACTAAGTGGTGATGAACTCCACGCAGAGATTGTCACACACAGGACTCTACCACCTGAAAATCCATTCTTAGATGAGGCAATGCATTGTCCAATGATATTGTATCGATTTATTTTGTTGTTAGGTATCTTTGTGTATGCAGTTGTTGCTATTTTCTATGTTTCAATGGAAGCGTCATACTGCTCAATTAACACTTCATTTGACTTGGTATCGCGTTTCATGTTTTCTATGTTTATCGATGTCATATTTATTATGCCCTTTGCTTCTTGCTTACTTGCATTAGGTTTTTATTTTTACCGTTCCTATATCAATGTAGATTTAGCAAATGACAAGTTATAAAGCTTCATCTACTATGTTGTAACATTTCATTCACATCATGTTCTTTTTATTAAAAAAAGCTTTCATTAAGTGGCGTTTTATCATTACAGCTGTTTTCTATGAAGTGGGTATATACAGAACAAGAGGCTTCTTTCAACTGGGGGTCTCCAGACATATTTAAGGGGTTTTGTGAGCATTGGTGTTTTTGGATGCATACTGTGAAAACAAAAAAGCCAAATTGAAAATACTGCTATATTTGCACCTCGAAAAGAAGCCCCCCGACTAATCATGGTGAAGATGAAGTAAATAATTATTTAATTAGTGGGCTAAAAATTTGGCAAAGTGCAGCAGTTAACCCATCAATGTCGGTCGAACGTTAGTGTCATTCTTATCACATTACGTTCACTGGTTATCGTAGCCAGGGCGAACCCCCCCCCCCCTTTTGAAATGTAAAAAAAAATCATTTTTCTGTATCATAGATAGCAATTTTTCGTGCTTGAAATGCTTTTTAGACCCCCAGGACTAATAAAAACATGCGTATTCCAGCGTTCGATCGGACCCGCTAGCTGTTTCAATCTAACTTGCCAAATAAAATTTTCTGAAACCCCCACCCCCCTTGAAAATTTCTGGCTACGCCCCTGATCGTAACGCTTAAGTTAATGAGTTGCTCAAATGATCAACCAACAACCTTTGTTGGGCAGAATAGTCAATTCCATGTGTACACTTCTAGCAAAACATGGTCTTGTTCTAACAGACATTTCACATAAAATTAATAGAAATAAGACTGAAAGTGGTAGCAAAATGATATATCAAATAATATTTTTCTAGACCAATAATGCATAAACGCTCTCCCTAACTTTGAAAATTATAGTTAAAAATATGTGACCACTGGTTTATGACAATATTAGCTGGCTCATTCCAAGGGACGGACAACCGATAGGGTTCATGGCACAGAATGGGGTTTACTTATAAATTTGTAAACTTATAAATTTGAAATAAATACACTTTGAAACGTATCACGTTTATATTGGGAGAATCTTGTTTCTTCCTGCTCTGTGTGACGGCCTTACCACCCGCATGCTTGGACAATATCAACAACGCACGATATGGTGTATACTTTTGTACATGGCATGTTTTCCATGATGCTTTATTTTAATAACACGAAAAAGCTGACAAAAAATCGAGCGAATTAGCTATGAAAACTATTACCTAGGTTTCACACGTTCAACATTAGGAAGAAAATCATCACCTTGAATTGCTATCACAAACCGACTGTGCTACACTGTTTGTTTGGTATGGTATGATGAAATAAAAGCAGACCTGAATTCTACATTAATCGGCCCCTCCAGCGATGTATATGCATTTTGAATATCAATTAGCTAGGAAACCCAATGTAAATAAAGAGTGTGCTCAGAGTAACTAGCCTCGTTATGCAGAAACCCACTCCAGCTGGAATGCAAGCAATCTCAGCACCCCCCGATGCACATTCTGCTAGTCGTGTCACATGTACCGTAATTCTTGGTTGCGCGGGAATCCTACATTCTTTTAATTTAGGACTGTATTTAAAGATTTATTACAATCTCCGGAGTAAATAGTATGTCTAAAACACCATTTCTGAGCGATTTCTAAATTGAATAAACATGAACAAGGTCACGATTTTTATTTTTCAAGAAATAAAAAGCTGTTTCATGGCAGTATGTTCAATCTCATGAAGAAATATGATCAATGAAAAAAAACAGCAGGACAGCAGTCATATGAACAATATAAATTCCAGTGTATTTTCATTACTTCGGCCTAACACAATCTGGAGCTACTTTATGTGATGAATTCCACGAGCTGCAACAATCCAGTCACACTTTGTATGATGCACCCAGTATTATGGAAATTCCTGTTTGAGAAGGAAGAAGTAATTTTGTCAATAAGTGGAATATATCTAAAAACATTAAAACAAGAAGAGAACTGATTAATGGTTTTTATAAATTGCTTGATAGTAGGGTTTTTCTAAAATATAAAATTTTGTACTTGCAACCAACACCACTTAAAATAAAAATCTTGTACTGTATGTGATATGAAGATTAAATTTATATTGCTTAGTAGTTGTAACATGCGTCTCTGCTGGAATCAAATTTACTGAAATGCAACCATATCAAACAGAGATTGCCCTAATATTTCATGAATGTAATTGAAATCCAGTTTGGTTTGTATGAAATTAGTCAATGTCATAATCGGTAGCTTTGTCCACTTACCTGAGATAAGTATTGTAGTATCATTCAGATCCAACAACTAACTCAAACCATTGTCGCAGGGCATCACCAAGAGTTTGTGGAAGTACGTTGACATCTCTTAGGATCAAATAGAATGGAAATGGAAAATCCTTCATATAAGATCGAATTTCTGGCATGTCTCCAGGCTTGTTGAAAACCGGAACTTTAATATCAGTGATTGACCCATGAGACATGCTCGGTTGGTCGAGAATAATGAACACTACAAATACTCTCGACTTTTTAATGTCGCCCACTGCTTCTAAAACACGCTTTCTGCCTTCCAAATACAGTCCTCTGCCATCGGATATTATCAATAATAGTTGAGAAATATTTGGATGAGCATTCGAAGAATATCTTCGCTTTGCTGTTTGCAGAAAATCGGTACTGAATTCTAAGAATTCTGCAATTTTTGTTTTCTTTTGTGTGAAAGTACATTTAGATAATATAGTTGCACCACTTTTTGTTGACAATGGGTCGTCAAAATTTTGTAGTAACTGAACTTGTTCACCAAAGCTACAGATTGCGAGTTGACCTACTTCTAATGATGATAATGCACCAGATATAACTGCCACAGATTCAAATGCAAGCTGCTTTGTGTGATTATCGATCATACTTGATGAATCATCAACAGCTAACATAATTTGATACATTCTTCGATTTGCCTTTGTTCTCCTTAGCCAAATTTTGTCCTTTCTAAACCCACTTGCAACATATGGGATTATTTTCCGTATATTTAGTCGTTTACCAGTACGGTAGTCACCTTTCAATTGAGATGCCTTTGTTGGCTCAAGGACCAACCTGAGTTGCTCACAAAGTTCAATTGCAAGTGGTCTTGTTAAATTGCAATAACATTCCCACGCATTTTCTGCCTCATGCAAATCTATCATGTTACTCTTTTTTCTCCATAACTGCAGTTGATTTTCCAGCTCCAGCCTCATTTCATTTAATTGTTCATCGGTCTTCTGAGTAGTGTTGGCCATATGGTTACCTTTCGTGATATCCGTGTGTATCTCTGATAACTGGAAATAGTGTTTCCTTTGAACATTTTTTGTTTCATCATCCATCGTTTTATCATCACCTTGAGCAGATTCATCCCAGTCCATTAAATCTTGGCATTCTAACTCACCGACCTCTTCCTCGATCATATCCATCTTCTTCGGTAGGTCTTGCTGTACAGAATCAAGAGTCTTTTTATCATACCCCGCTGTAGGAGAATCAATATGCTGAAAAGCATCAGAGTCTAAGCCTCTGGGATCAGTTTCAGTATTTTCCTTGATGTCTTTTCCAACATCAACAGCATCAACAATATTCAGTCTTTTTTCAATACTTTCATTTGTTAGAGGTTCTGGATCAGAATTGAGAGAATCTGGCTCTCTCCTTTTAGTGTTTATCTTTGTGTCAACATTATCATTTCTGCTTTGAGAAGCAGCACAAGAACTTTGCATATTTGTATCATCCCAGTTACCATCTGATGGTGCATTTCCCTCATTGCGAAAACTTTGTGGTTCAGGATTTTCTGGTGGTGTGTTGTCATGTTCTACATCACCACTATGTTCGATCTCGCTTTTCGATTGATTTTCATTTATTGTATTATCATTATGATCTTTGGTCATATTATCATCAACCTCCAAAGAGGCCTGTGCATCGAAAGCATTCTCCTCTTTCAATTCCTCATCATCGGATGGAAGATCTTCCTCGTTCAATTTTTCAGCAACATTCTGCTCATTTAATTCTCCCTCCTCATTCACATCAGATTCCATGTCTTTATTAGGTAAATCAAAATTCTCATTTTCAACTTCTTCATCAACTTCATTGTTATCTTCTTCCTGATCATCAATTTTCGAGTCATCAGCTATGTCAAAATTATTCTCATTTTGTTCAGGTACTTTATCTTCATCATTATATAAGTCATTCTCTGAAGGATCAAATTCTGCATCATCACAAGGTCTGTCATCTTCATCTTTATCACCTTGTTCTTGCAATTCTTCTTCGTTCAAATCACTATCTTTTGCAGCGAGTTCACTTTCAGATTTTTCCATCCCTTTCCCCTTTTCTTCTTTCTTATTTGACTCATTTAATTCTTCTTCCTCTTCTGAACCCCAAAATTGTTCATCAAGCTTATCTTCTATTTCATCTTCACCGAGTTCACCCATTTGTTTCTCAATGTCTTCATCCTCATCATCAGTTTCTTGATTTGATTCATTGTCCGACTTCTGATCAACATGATCACCAAGTTCACCATCAAAATCATTTGACATTTCTACAGCATCACCATCTTTTTCTGCATTTTCATTATCTTTTTCCTCACTTTTGTCACCAGCTTCTTCTAGCATGGTTTCATCTATTTCATCGGATACATTATTAGTTCCTTCGCCATCTCCAACTCCACCACCTTCTGCATCTCCTAGCTCCGTCATATCTTCATCGACAGGCTCTTCCATTTCTGGTGGCGTACAGAATCCATTCTGGCATAAATTAATAAAAATCTTGCCCAAAACATGACATAACTTTGATGTGGTATGATGAAGTCCTTCAAGAGATGTCAGTGCAACAACAAGTATGGCCCGATATTCTTGTATCACTGAATGTACAGATTCTGAAGCCGATTCTGCCAAATTTCTATGATTAGTAGATATCCATTGTGCTACCAAATCTGAAAAATGAGAAATATTTTCACAAGTATCTGAAACACATAATGTTTGAATCATGCCAATGACTTTATCATGCAAATTTTTTGTGAATAGGTTATCCTCAAGACCAGGTAACTCATCAAACTGTGGAAAAGTGCGAATATATTTTTTTGTGTTCTGAATACGAAGCAAAATTGTTGAAATGAGAGTATTTGTATTTTCAAGAATGTCTGTGACGATTTCATCAGAGTTGGGTAATACTTTAGGAGAAATTTCAGACAATTCATTAATCTTGACGTTGTGGTTTTCCCAAACATCTGTAAAGTCACAAATATCCGATACTAGCTTTGGAGTCAAATTAAGTGAACAACAGTTTGAAAACGTTTTTAGTAGGAAACCGGAAAGATCTTTAGACATCAAAGACATTTTACACATCTGCTCAGATAAAGATTTCATTTCTACAACTGTAACCAGACAAATCTGAGAACTTGACAGTATATCTTCAACTTTCCCATCAATAATTTTTTTTGCATTATGAGCGGCCTCAATGCAATTTTTTATTATGTCCATTGATTGTAGCCATACTTGGTCTCCATGTAGTATAAACTTCACTGACTGACCATACAAAGGATCGGAAGAGTCGTCATTGTGAATCCGATGTTTTGGGCAACAATCAAACCAGAGCATTAATTCATGCAGAAGCATGCACCAATCATCAACTAATATTTTGGATTCTCTAATCAGTTCAGCAGTTTCAGACTGACAGTTACAGTAAAGTACATTCCGAACGATCTCTAATAGTTTGACCGATTTGTCAAGCTTTATTTTAGCCATGAGCGTGGAACATAATTCCTTTTTCTGAGACAAAGAAAGTTCCATTAAGCATCCTATAAAACCACGAGCACGCTCTACATTTGATCGTGTGAGGTCCTTATGAGGCTTGCTCGATGACAATGAGAAAGTGGACCACTTGGCAATATTGGAGAAAAAGTATCTTTGATAACTAACTGAGCATAATTTGATATCTCTTACAATGGATATTCTCCCTGAGTCCACAATTTTTATAGATGTTGCTATTTTTCCAGAAGAATCAGAGTACACAGGACTCTTGAGTAGATCCAATGATGACAAGTTTTGACCAAAAAAGATACCCTTTTTGTACGAAAAACCAAGTTGCTTGAGATTTTTGAATAAGTCATTTAAAGCCTTTTGCTTACGAAGCTTAATATTCTTCATCTCTGAGAGTCTCTTTTTATGCGTACTTTCGTCGCCTTGCTTTGGTAGAGGAGTGCTCGGCTGCAAGTTTTTAAGGTGGTTTGCATTTTCAATGACATCTTTGATAAAATTCTCAATCGAAATGAGACCTTTATCAAGATAACCAATTTCAACCTTACTATCTGCACAAACACAGAGGAGTTTCTGTTTCAAAAAGTTTAGACGATGAAGCACATCATATTTAGCATGCTCATCAGACTGTGATTTATCTTTTAAATAATTTGAAATTTTGTCGAAGCAAACAATTGAATCTGTATTTTCTATCTCAACATTTACACAGGTAATTTTTGCATTGCCTGATAGAAGTGGTTTGAGAGCAAATGAGGAACTTTCTGTTGCAGAAGAAGTTTGAACTAAAATTTTAAATTGCACTCCCTCAGACATTGCCTGGTTAAATTTTTTGACAAATTTGAACAGATGACGATGTGTTTTATCAACAGTCTCTTTCATTGCAAAAAAGTTTTGATCACTCCATCTTGTAATTTTAACAAAATCTGTCAGTTCCTTTGCAATTGGTTGACTCAGTGCCTGTATGCGTTCATTTACAGAATTGAGATATTGTACATAGTAATCATGAACATTCTTCAAGCAGATAGAAATATTACTTCCTTGTTGACCTTTTATACTTAAATATTGTCCAAATATATGTAGCATATGCAGTCTCGAAGAAAACTGTGATATTGACGAGGATTCCATGTACTGCTCCAAATGAGTAATAAAGTCTGATATATCTGCATCATCAATGGGATTCTGGATAAGTTTGTAAAGAGAAAAGAATAATGATGGTTTCATGCAACTTAGTTTTTGGAATTCATCTGCTAGTAACTTATTCCAACCATTCAGTTCCATCTTTCTCCATTTGAACACAAATCCTGTAATTTGTTCCAAAAAAGATTGCAATGAAACACTGCTTGTGGCATTCTTTTCCCACTCCTGTATAACTTCAACCAAAGTCTCTAGTCCTAATATATAATTGATTAGCGGTAGGGTTGCAGATAAGTTCATTATTCGAGATAATATTTCACCGATCCTCAGCAAGGTAGGGTGCTCTGGCCACTCTTTTAATAATTCTAAATAAATCCTGTTCATTAATTGCCGGAGAACTGGAAGGCATTGTAAAACTTCTCCAACATGTGGCATTTTGTAAACATTATAAAAATCATTCGATTCATTCTGATCTTTTTGCAAACTGTCTTTAATGTGTTTGATCATATTCAAATTTGCGCTCAGAATATTCTTATCTATGCCCATATTATGCATATTCGAAGATGCGAGCCTGAAAGATTCATGAAGGCTGCTGAGAGAATATTTTGATGATATTGAGATATCGATGACATTGCTTTCACATGAATCAGGTGCCGAGGAATCTTTATTTGTATCTTTTCTATGGTTCCTCTCATCAGTGTATGAACCTATTATTTGCATCACACTACTGTACACTTCCATTGCGGTTTGCCAAATATTTTCTGAAAATTGACATTCACTTTGCGATTTTTGATCATTGTATGTTAAAGGTGTCTCTTGAGGCTTCCCAAACATTTTCTGAAAATTTTGTTCATCTTCTTCATCTTCATTGGCATCATCCATATGGATGTTCGCTTTGTATATGGAGATTTTTTCCTCAGCAATTTTTGCTTTTCTATCTTGTTCTATTTTCCATTCCAAACCAACATAGTCAAAAAGTTGAAGTAAATGCTGCAAGTGTGAAGAAGAAATTCCTTCAAAAAGAACAATATTTTTGTACTTCAGTAGCAAAGATACAATGACATTTTCAACAATTGTAGGAGATGATACATGTTCATCTTCGAGATTGCTTTTTTGTAGATATTTGGCAAAATTAATAAGCTGTATAGGTGTCAGATTAGATTTTGCATTTATACCCATCAAAGCAGGAAAAAATTCTTCATGTGTTACATTCATTCTGGCTTCGACATCGAAACATTGCAAAACATTAACAGAGTGTTGAAGCATACTTAAGCCAATTTGCACAGAATTCAGAGAATCTTGAAGCGGTATAACGTAATCAGGGAAACCAAAATAATTCTGATCAAGCGTTTGTGCTGAAACCTGGATATTTCTTTGAATTCCATCGAATGATTTCAAGAACTGCTCTGCCTTTTCCATAGTGACGTTTGGTACGTCATTATGTAATAAGCTGGTGGCCCAACTCTCGAATGTTGTGAGTGTATCAGTCAAAGTACTGGATGACATAATCCCATGTTGTATTTGCTTGCAGTAAGCAGTAAGGTCTCTGAACTCATTTGAAGGCGGGCGTGTGGCACTTTTAGGCATTGTTTTCTTTAGCTTTTGTTTCAATTCATGCATTCTATGAAATCTACCAAGCAAATAAGGATGGATATGGGGATCTGATAATGATGAATCAATATCAGAGTATAAAAGTTCACCTGTCATTGTTTCATGATATATTGAAAAAACTTGAATTTCATTTTCTATCTCTTCAGTGTGTTGATTTAAAATTTTGCATTTGGACTTGTATATTACAACAGGATCAACATCATTTTGTGGTGAAACAAGGGTAAATGAAAGCAAGCCTGCCCATGACCATGCCATACCCAACATGTTGTTACATAATGTTACAAATCTTTTGCAATTATAAGGCACTTCCAATGTGGGAATGAAGACAGCATTCACAAGAGAATTGGTCCATTTAACAACATTTATAAAAAGTTTTTTAATTTCTTTCATCCATCCATTGTTAAGTTGTTCCCTAGACCCTATATTTTGAAGTCTGCTACTTACTTCATTGGATAGAGCAGTAACAGAATGGCACAAACCTTCCGCATGTTTGTGGACAACGGTGGAACAATTAAATGCTTTAATAATTTCATTCAAGGTAGAAATTGTGTCTTCCTCAATTACATGCATGAGTGCACCTTTCATAGTAATGAGGGTATCAAGACAGCTTTTGAAATATGTCAGATATGCAAATACATTCTGTAATATATTATGATCGATAACAGCATAAGCTGGTGTACATAAAACAGATGAATATGTCCAAAGCATATGTTGCAGCAAGTCTATCTCTTTTACTCTGTGATCAATTTCTGATAACAGGACATAACTATTACCGATATCAATTGAACATGAATTATTGTACTTGACAGTCTTGACGCCTCCAGGCATAGTTTTAAAAATCACTTCCAATGAAGCTTTTGTAAAGTATGGTTTCAATAACAAGGAAGCACCAGATGAAACAGTTCTGTTATCACGCAATAAATCAGAAATATTATTCTCAGTTACAACAGTAATTAGAGTTGTAAGAATCTGCTTTCGCATGAGGGCAATACAATTTTTGTTTGAATCCAGAAACTGCATACTTTTTTGAATGCACTGAATGGCAGTTAAAACCTTTATATTTGAAATTTTCATGTTAAGAAGAATTTTGTAAGTATGGTCTATAAAGTTTGAGACCAGAGTAAAAACATCATTAGCATTTCCTTCAGATAATGCCAACCATGTCATCAGATTAATCAAATTCGTTGAAATCATTTGATGCATCAGTGGCACAAGCTCTGAAACATGTTCAAATCCATTATTCTTATGAAGCTGAACAGTGTCATTATTTTCGTCTTTCAATTCAATATGAGGTGAATAGTCAAAAGCATTTATTTCATCTTCAATAGATTTTAACAGGTTTGAAACATGACATTGATCATTCATGAGAGGAATCTGAAATATACTTATTGTTGATAATGCATCACATAATTTTGCAACTGCAAAGTGGAAATTAGCCGGAACTATACTGTTATTTTGCTTCAATCGCAAACTTGTGTCTGACATCTTAGTCAAGAGTGTTTTCGCTTTGCATAAACATAACAAATCATTTTCATCTTGACAAGGAAGAGAACCAAGCAAGAACTTTGCAAGAAATAGTCTGATTTTATTTTGAGTTGAAACTGTCGCCCAGTCTAAGTCTGAAAATTGATTCATGGAATTGAACATGTCATCAATTTTGGCATAAATTAAAACAGATTTCTCACTGTTTATCTTAAAAAATTCCAAACAAGTTTGCAACCTTTTTAAAGAAATGAAAAATTCAACCAAGTCAAACTTCACTGTTTCCATAAACTGTTCCCAAATTTTTGCAATTTCAAATATTTTTTCAACACTTGCAATGAGTTCCAATATTCCAACATCACTTTGCATTACCACAATATGCTGGAAAGAAGAAAGAAGATTCTGGTATAGTGGATATAAATATGCAATTGCGGGATGTGGCAACTCTTGCAGCTTGATAACACCACTGTGGTAAAGTGAGGACTTGACCAATACACTGATGTCAGACTGTGACTGAGCAGTCTTCTTCACTCTGGAGGACTTTTTCTTCCTCGAATAGTTGTTTCGCAACAACTTGAGTATTGAATTCAATTTTGTGTTCAGATCTTGTTGATGAATTGTAACTGTGAATACTAAGTTGAGTATGTTCATCTTGCATGAATATTCTGGGCATAACTGAAAATTCATAGCATCCAATATCCGACTTGACCATCGGAGATCCCATGAAAGATCCAAATATTCATCTTTATAAGAATCGAAAAATGTATTTGATAAAACATTTTCTATTGCTTTTGAATATTTTACAGCGGTTCCATCGTTATTAAAAAAATAATCATCAAGCAACTGAATTCTAATTTTGTAGTCATTGTAAGATGAAAGATGTAAAAATAATTTGCAGGCCCTATGAAATAATTGTTCGAGTGAACAATTTGTTTGTGAAGCACGTCTTTTAATTGAATCAAACATTTGTGCTTGATGAAAAACTCTTGCGGCATCAGTGCTATGAAGAAAATTTTCTAATCGCATTATTGGCAAATCATTGGTCAAATTTGTATCCCCCGTTGTTGCACATGTCTCTAAATCTTCTCGCATATTATCTACTCTATAATTTCGAGGCAAATATCGGTGGCATACAGCTAGAATACAGGAAACAATATCATTACCAGTTTTAAGTTCCTCAAATACTTCTCTGGAACATTTTATGCAGTTCATCATTCCATTATAAGCAGAATTTACATTTGATGATTGGGCTGTTTGGAACAGATTCAACAGATATGAAATAATGCAATTGGGTACAACAGGTGATAACTTGGAAAACACAATCAGTCTTGCTTCATCCCAATTCATTATTCCTGCAGTCTTATAAGCACGAGCTTGACTGGACCTATCAGAAAGCAAATGAATTTCCAATCCCCTATTTCTCATTGCTCTCGACAAGTTACCTTCAGATGCATCTAGCGAAAGTATCAAGCGAAAAGAAGGATGGGGACGTATTTCTACGAATGAACCGCCAACAATTCCACGTTCAGTGACGGACAAAACTCCATTCGATTCAAGAAGGCCATTTAGTCTATCAAGAACAGATGGATTGCATAAATTCGCTCCATCGATGAGTAGCCAATCTCCACTCTTTAGCGCGTTTATTAATTCACTATCAACCCATTCAAAGCAGCCTTTTGATTCATTAATTTTTTTGGTGACTGACTGTAATTTTTTACGACATTGTTTTACACCGCATATCAATTTGGTCATAGAATCATCCATACCAAATTTTGACTCCAGCCAATCAATATAGGAAAGTATAGAGTTTGCATGAATCAGAGCAGAAGCACCACTTGTTGTCTCCATAATTTTGGTCCGAATTTCCTTCAAATCATCCATTATCTGAAGAGCATTCGAGACATCATCAGACATCAACACAAATGATTTGTTATTTGCCTTGAATACATCCATACATGCATCCATCAAACATTGAATTATAGTACCTAAATGCCTCACAGAGTCCATTTGTTCAAAACCACCAAGCAGCTCAGTTGCATCCATGCTACTGTTAACAGAAAAAGTGCGAAGCCGGTGTCCAATCAATGAAGCTAGAGTTTTCACAAGTGTTGTTTTGCCTGATCCAGAATGCCCTGTTAGTATGCACATCCAACCTAATTTAATAGCCGTCATTAATCCTTCCATTGAGTGCAGTCTGCTGGGAAAAATCAAAGCATCCAAATTATCTCCAACGACAACTTCTTCTCGTTCCAAAGTCACATTACCAATTTGCAAGACATTAGATGATAAATGGAAAATGCATGATGGTCGATAAGCTTTCTTTCCAAAAACCTCATAGAATGAAGAGAACATTTTTTGTCTATCAAGAACACTTTGCAATCTCTCACAGTATATAAGATATACAAACTTTTCTGGATAGAATCCATTATGGGCTGTTAAAATCAGTTCACACCATCTTATCATATCCCGCAAGTTAAATTCCCAGGGTCCGCCAACATGACCCCACTGATGTCGATTAACAATTTGTTCTTTTACACTTTCATTAAAACAAATCATTTTGTAAAGCATATCAACTGGAATCTTAGGGAATTGAGATGAAAGAATCAATACCATATCTTCTTTTGATAATGGATCCATGTATACTTGATTGAACCTATTTAAAAAGCTTTTCGGTAAACCTTTCCGACCACCACCTTGATGAAATGGATTTTGGCAGGCAAAAATGCGTGTCTGCTCACTTTTGACATTGAAAGTAGATCCCAGTTCAGGAATAAATATTTCATTTCTATGATCAAAAACACTATTCAAACCTTCAAGTACTGACTGTGACGCCAAATTTAACTCATCAAAAACAACCCAGGATCCTTGTTTAAGTGCCAACAGCAAAGGGCCGTCTCTCCAACAAAATTGTCCACCCACTCCTTCATCAACCGGCAAATCAGCACCAATCAAATCAGAAATGTCTGTTTGCTCTGATAAATTTATTCGAACAATATTATGGCCAGCAGCTCGGGCCAGTGCCATAACCAAACTTGTCTTACCAATTCCTGGAGAACCCTCTAATAATATGGGATTAGACAATTGTAGAGCTCGTAACAAACGAAGGGTGTTTACTGAAGTTGTTGGAGCACTGAAACAATATTCATTTAAAATTGGTTCAGATGGTCCTCTCAAAATGGAGAACGGTCCAACTCCAAAACAATCAGCTGAGAGAGAAACCCCACTCTTGGCAGTACCTTGGCTAAAGTCCATCAGCTGCTGTTTGCTCAGTTCTGTAACATAATTGTCAAGTGTAGAGTGAGAAAGTAACTCCAATAGCTTTGATATGCATGCTCTCCTAGCTTCATTACGGATCTCTGTGTTATCAGACATCCCTGAACCAACAGAATCTATGAAAACCAGCAATGCCCCATGTGCTAGAATTTGAATATACTCAAGAGGTTTGATCGATTGAGCACAGACATTACAAAAAGCAACCCATTTCACAACATCACGTATTGACTTGTTATACCTGGTTCCAAAAGAGGTAGAAACAAACCACTTGATGAACTTTACCATCATATCAGCAAACACTTCTGATATTTCAGAAGAGAATTTAAGATTGTGGCGCATGATATCCTTGACATCTTCATCAGCCTCATCTGCCACTGTACACCAAATTTCTGTAAGTCTGTTTCGTAAGGCAGGAGAAAGCTCTTTTTTGCCAAAATCACCTCCTGGATTCATGGTTGCCATAAATTGAAATCCTTCTTTTGCTTCAACAGTTAATATTGATACGGTACAACTTTGCTCAACTCTGTCGGGAACAACCAGTTTTCTTGCGGGTTCTAGGACACTGTTAAGCCTTTCTAATACAGAATCCTCAGCAAGTGATATCTCATCAATCAGTAAGTATTTACCATGACACATTGCTTGTAAGAGAGGGCCATCTACCCAGTCAAATAATTTGGAGTTATCATCGCCATTATCAGAATCCTTTGAAACACGAACTGGTCGTAACCCACCTATGAAATCAGATGCATCTGTGTGAGCATGGCAGTTGATAGTGCAAAAGTCGCTAGAACTTTCAATCACAGAAACAAGTTGACACGCCGTAGTCTTACCACATCCAGTTTCTCCAACCAATAGTACAGGTTCATCAAATTTGAGAGCTCTATGGAGCATGATGATTAGCTTACGCAATGGTTTAGTGAACACAATGTGACTAAACTCTGTAGGTACTTTTCCAACAATCTTTTTAAGAATTTCTGCACTAAATAACTGATCCATGCATATTTCTTTTCCGAAGTGTTTTTGTATTATTTGTTGAATCAAAACTCTTTCATCTTCTTTTCTAACACGTCCAGCCAAAAGAAGATATCCATCATTTGCCAATTGTTGATCCCAGTCATTAATTACTGACCCAGGGTCTTCTTCATTTCCTCGTCTATATCGTTCTGCCCATTTGAAAAGATCTCTTATTGTGATGAATCCATACTTGCCAGAAAAAATTCCACTTGAACGTCTATGTTCCTGTAAATCTTGCATCACTCGAACCAAACGATTGCATCTAGATACAGGCAAGTCGCATCTTCGATGAAGAATTGTATTTATCTCATTTGGTGGTATCTCACCAAAATGCAGTTCAATAAAACGATTCCGCAGAGCTCTGGATAAGACTTTTCTACCTCCATACAAACCTGGTGGATTCTGGGTAGCAAAAAGAGTGAACCTGGGATGTGCTACAATTCGTTCTTGTGTTTCCGTAATAAAAAGCTCTCTGTTGTCATCCAAAACCCTATTCAATGATTCTAATATATCAGTGGGGGCTAGATTAAGTTCATCAAGAATAATCCAATTACCTTCTCTCATTGCAGTAACGAGTGGGCCTTCTTGAAAATAAAATTTCCCGCTTTCATCCAAGGAGTAAGAGCCAATGTATTCCTGCAGGTCTGTATGCTCATGGTTATTTATTCTGACAACAACATTTCCCGTCAGTCCAGCTAAATATTGGATTATACTAGTCTTACCCGTTGAAGTCTCCCCTTGGATTAGAATTGGATACTTTCCATATGCCACAGCTCTTGCAAGAATTTTAATATGTTTACTTACAAATGGTGTGATAATGTATTTTGGATCAGAATATGGCTCAAGACTACCACACCTTATGTGATATCCTTCAACCGAAGCATGTTTATATTCTGGTGACGGAATATGAACTTTTAACAGAGGTTTCCATTTGTTTTTTCCAATCACATACTTTACAATAAGCTGTATAACAACTTCATAATTAGTGTGATCTATTTCTGTCAGGAATGCTAAACTAAGCCCTTCATATAATGCTCGAGTCAACGTCATTCTGGGATGGTCCACAACATAGCGTAGAGCACGACACAATGAACGCAGTGAAAATATTGGTTGAGCATTCATCCCCAATGCAATTTTAGATCTTGAAAATTCACAAACTTGACGATAAAATAATAATATTCCATTCACTAAATCATTATTTGGAATGTTTCTTCCTTTTAAATAATGTGATATTAGAATAAAGAGGTCAGAATCATCATCTGGTTCAGAAACAAATAGTTCAAGAAATCTATTCCGTATACTCACTGGCAAGTTTTTCTTTCCAACATCTGTGGCTGGATTCATGGCAGCAAAAATTCTGAATTTTTGATTTCGTTTGATTGGCTTAGTATCTCCCATTTCAAGAAGAGAAATGGATCCTTCATGGGACTCCAAAACAGCATTTAAGCAGTCCAAGGTTTCTGGTGGTGCTAAATTGATTTCATCTATCAAAAGCCAATCACCCCTTTGTATTGCCTGAGACAGTACACCTTCAACAAAAGTGAAAGCCAAGGAATTTTGAGCTTTCATTTGCTGTTTCAGCTTTATCAGACTATCATTTAATGACGTCCATTCTTGAATGAGCTCACCATTTGTATCCAACTCTTTAGAGAGTTTGGAAACAGCGCTTTTTGCACAATGAGTCATGAGATGGAGCAGATCCGAAAACCTCTTGTTCATGAAGCATGCCTGCACATGGGTTAAAAATTTCATGTTATGCTTTTGTGAAAATGTCCTCAAAAACAATTCTTCAAAATGATCTCTCACTGGAGAAATCAATTGCTTCGGCTGTATTGGTTTAAAAGCACCGAGTAAATCTGATGAAGAAGACTGCTGAGAGATATTTACGATATGCAGAGTAGTACCGCATTGCTCTGCCAAATACTGGATAGCACTGGTTTTCCCCACACCAGTTTCTCCTACAAGTAGTACTGGCTCGCACATTTTAACAGCGCATGCAATCCTTTCCAATAACACACCAGAGCTTCTTGTTATAGCAAAATTTTGATGAATAACGCTTCCTCCTCCCACATTTTTTTCCCTATGCAAATTAACACGACCAAACATTGCAATTTCTGGTTGAATTTTTATTTCTGGATTGTATGATTGACAAAAATAATCTGCAGTTGCAGAAGAAAGATTCAGCAAAGCATGAATTGACTGAATTTTAGCTTTTCTTTCATTCTTATTTATTGACGATGCTATAAAACAATCTATTGCCTCCAAAGCCAACATGCGGCCAAGTTCATTGTCTGGAGATTCAGGACAAATATGTAAAGAAAGACGGTGGCACAATCTAAACAAATCTCGTGCAGAAGCTGTTCTATTATTCGATTTATAATCCATTGCAAACATTCCTGAATACATATTTTCTAAGCTCGTGTAGATTTCCAAAAGTTTTTCTGAAAATTGACGTATCAATGGATATTTTTCATCAATAATACTTTTCAAATCACTTTCGAGCAATGAATCCATATAAATATGTCGTGAATGCCGTTTCAACATTGCAACACCTAAACGACCATCTGAATGTGGAGTAGGCAGTGATTTCCCATCTGATCTGCAAGTCATAAATATTTGAAATCCGGTTGATACATTATTATTTCCATCAGATATACTATGACCAGGAACATTTAACTGGCCACTCTCAAGAAGTGGAAGCAACAAAGAAACAACATCTAGTGGAGCCTTATCGATATCTTCCAACAAAACCCAGTATCCATTCTTGGCAGCCTGAGTAAGTGCACCGGGTTGCCACTCAAATTCACCTGAAACATCAGTACATTTGTACATCCCAGATAGCAGCTTGCTGTCAATACCCTCTCCCAACTGTATTTTGATGAAATTGGAACTATCATGACCTGTTAGATGCGCAAGATATTCAATTAGTGTAGACTTCCCGCAATCTGGTGGTCCTTCTAGAATTACTGGATGCCAATCGGAAACTGCCAAGGCGACAGAATGCAAACAATTCTGTAGAGTTTTAGTCAATACAACTTTCATTTGAGATGGTGTAGTTGAATATGGTTTAATCTCTACAGAATTTACTTTGGGAAGAACAACTCCACAAACCATTACTAGTTTTGAATGCAAATCTGAACATAAAATCTTTTTCATTGTGTGAGATACAGAAACCCCTTCAACAGAAACAAGAGCCACGGAATCTGTGTTGGAGATATGCTTATATAAAGATCCAGAAGTTTTCTTGCAAATTTCATATTGTAAATGAAGAAGGGAATTGTGTCCAATATTAGAAACAAGTATAGCTTTCAACTGTTTAGTTTGAAAATTAAAAAGGGCAGACAATATATTCATTAAAGCCCATCGCCCCAGAGGTGTTAACGTTGACTCATTTTCCTTAACACATTCCCAAAAATGCTTCCGAGGCCAATTATTATGAGAAATTTGAGGCGAACATTTCATCATCTGATACATGCTATACACGACATCACTTAATGACACACTTTTAACAAGTTTTCTCTTTTTGAGAGGAGAGTGATCTATATCATTCATTTTAATGATGGAGGGATTGCATAGGTTTTTTTCTTCCAAACACATACTAGAAGACACTCTTTTTGCATGAGAATTTGCGATATCACAAAGCTCTCCCAAAATCACATAAAAATTCTCTTGAGAACTACTTCCAGATTTACCCAGATCCCCAAGAATTTCCAAAGATCTGTAAATAAGATCAGCAGCAAGAGGACCAAGTAACCGCGTTACTGAAGAAATTGTATTCTTATCTGCAGAGTCCAGAAGAACATGTGCCAGAATGTCTAAAATGTTGTTACGATCAATTGAACCCCATACTTGTTTTGCGAGATAGGGCTTTAAGTGGCCACTAAATTCCTTGTTCATCATTGAAACAGTTCCAAGGAAATCCATTAAAAATGCAGAGCTCTCCATTCTTTTTATCGAGTACAGATAACCATTTAAGATTCTAATACTGTAAGAAAAAATGAAATATTACATTAAATAGGTTGAATAAAGTAATGCGCTTTATTACAAATTACGACACCCAATAAATTATCTCAAGTCCGAAAAAACGAGTTGATTTATTAGAAAAAAATTATTTGAACTTTTTCCCGCTTTTGGCAAATAATTTTGATAATGATAGTCAAAAGTATCGACTTTTTATTATGATGATTTTCCGTTGCGACAAAATATTCAAATTCATGAACAATAACAGCATTTAAATGCCTTGCCGTATTAATTTAATTTTGTTTAATTAACGTAACTCGTGGTTGCGTCAACTAGCGAAAAAATAAAAGTATTACCGCGGCAATCTGCGGATATAAATCGTGTGGTAAACTGGCCAATTATAATTAATTTTTTATATCTATTTCCGTACTTAAGGAAAACAAATAATATTACAACTCTAAAATACCATGACAATCTGTGGACATAAAATGTGTGGTAAACTGCCCGATTACCCGATATATAACACAAAACAAAGCATTTTGTGACATTTATTTTGCACTCCCGAAAAAATTAACTTATTTTTAGAATTCAAGTCGACGATCCTATCGGCCAAGATCGACACACATTTGGTCGAGTGTCGGTGGTATTTGAGTCGACGATAAATCAAAATAAGTTGCCGCATTTGGTAAAAACAGTTAATCATATCCGTCCGGTATTGTGAAAAACGTATTGCGCAAGACCAACTCTAGATAGATATGGTATATAACGAAAATACCGGTAACAGAAAATCAAGATTTTGTAATAGAAAATGGATCCTTTATTAATGTTACAAAGTACAAATCACGACTACGTCAAACTTTATTTTACGAGTCTTGCTCGCACAGAATAAACACACTAGCTCATACTTGATTACAATTGATAATGGTTAAATTTAATAATTTACACCAATAATTAACACTTTCCCTACGAAGCGCGGCGCTGCAGCGCATTTTTGTATCAACCGTTTACTATTAAAGTGTATAACGGGAGGCTTAATTTATTTAGCATATGATTATTTAGGGATCACATAAATTTTGAACTATTAAATAAAGCCAAAAAATCATGGTCAAAATTCTTAAATCCCATTGCCTTGAGAAATGCCTGTTTGAAGTTAAATATAATCCAAGGCGCAGGACATTTCCTATTAAATACTGTACAAAGATAGTAAAATTCTCACTATTTAAATAGTGGTAACTATGAAAATAGAATAGGATTCGATATTCTGGATTCAATTTGAGCAATCTAGAATAGTAAATTATTGTACATTGCCCATCCCTAGCGCCACACTTTATTGATGAGGTGTTAAACTTTTCCACTCTATGGCTTCAGACAAGCAGAAACGGGGACCCAGCTATATTTGGCAAGCTCTATTTGTGATTGTGACGTCGCAGTGATGTAATTTTTGGATGGTGTAGTCAGGTTGGGGTTAGGAATGATATATGCAGAAATTGTTACGCCATGCCTACTAGAGGTTATTTAAGTAAGAATCTACACAAGACTCGAATAGCTTGCTCAACTTCAATTAACCGTCTGCGCGTTTTGTATGACCATCTGTATATTTTGTCAGGCTTTATTATGTGACTGAGACGTCGTTATTTTAATTTATTCTTGGATGACGTAGTCACATAGGGGTTAGGAATGATATATGCAAAAGTTGTTGCGCCACGCCCGCTAGAAGTTATTGTGGTACGAACCTGCATGAGACCCAATAACCGTCTACAGCAGCAGTAGGCCTACCATACCAGTTTCTTTACACTCCTGCATCTATGTATCGTACCGGTCTGCCGATACTGTACTCACTACAAAATACACACTCAGTGGCGCAGCCAGGGGGGTGGGGGGGGGGGGGGGGGTGGACTCTCCCCCCTGGCTGCGCCCCTGAGTGTGTATTTTGTAGTGCCAGCTAAACCCCCCCCCCCCCCCCAAATTTCGAATTTTTTTTAAAATGAGAAAGTCGCCGACAACTTGTGCAATTGCCTTCTGCTAAAATTGTGACACACTGTAATCGATTTTCATCATTAAACAAATATTTTGACTTGTCACCCGTTAGTAGTCCAAAATTCACAGATTAGGAAATCATATTTATTACTGTATTAGATATTTTGCACCGCCAAACATTTGTCCAATCAATTGGTAGACTATATTCTGATAATGATTTTTCAGAATATACATATTTATCCTGGGGTAGAGAAAAGCCGATAACGCCTTAACCATAGGGCGAACCACGGCCTCTCTTCCGGTTACCAGTGATTGTCGGATATGGGATTAGTTGGGTATTTTATTTTTTCAGAAGCATGAACTTGTAATACTCTCGCACATAACTATCCCAGCACAGTATTCGAACCTGCGAACCCATGAGAGTAATCAGAGGTGCGGTGGCAAGTGTATTCCTAAAGAAGAGCATGATGAGCCACAATGCCACACCGAATTATATGTATTTTCTTTAATATGTGTTAAAACAAACAATTCAGAAACAATTTCCACCACCTTACATCAATTTTCACCACCCATTATATAATTCCCATCGTATATTCCATGAATCCAGCATCAGTAGTAGTCTATCCATTCAAATACAAATTATCCAGTTGGTTAAGATTAGAAAATGTTCAAGTTATTATTAGAATCATAAATGTATAATAGTTACGGTACATAAAAAAAAACAAAAATGACAATTAGCAAATGAACATTTTACACTATTATTATTAAATTAAGACATAATAATCGAATTTTTTTTTTTTTGTGCCAAATAAACTCCAATGCCAAATGGAATATTTGTATTGAGATTTTAGAATCGAATTATTATATTTTAAATACAAAATTTTTTGTTTCCATGTTTCAGTTTTCCAATTTGAATCCCATTCCCCCAATACCTGAATAATATAATAAAAATCCAAACAAATACAAATTCAAGCCATTACCACAGGATTAATTTAGTATATTCCATTAGAAGTCCACAAGAGTTGAGTTTATCCACATTCAGACATTTAATCCAATCAGCAATTGTATATTGGTTATATTTATATATAATTTACAGTTAATCGTTTTATTTAATTTAGCATGAAAAATGCAACAAGAATACAAAAATTAGAAAATACCAATCTTTTATATTGCAGTATTGGGTTTTCCTATTCGCCACCCATGTCAGTACAGCAGTGTGTCTCATACATCTACAATTTTAAAATTGCAATAGTCTGATAGTCTAGCTTTCACAGGATATTAAATACTTGGCGTCGCATAGAAACTAGAGATGTACCGATACCACTTTTGTCGCCGATGCCGATCCGATACCAGATAAAAACGCCGATACCGATATGACGATACTACAAAAATGCCGATATTACCGATAACGATTCTATGTAATTATTACTTACCGGTAATTAAGTGTGCTGTGTAGGGCAGAGGGGTTAAAACAATGGTCCTTGAGCGTTGTTCATAGTACACATTATTTCAGATCGAAAAAAGAGATATATCACATAATATGAAATTGATGTTTGGTATCCAGATGCTCATTAAGATGCAATGTACAGTGACGCTAGTAATCTCGGTGTTCAATTAGCAAACTCGTAAGCCGGGATGTCCAATTCGAAGTTAATGTTAATACCGTGACCTTCGAACATCGTTACTCGTGTTTGGAAGAATATAGAATATCGCCCACACATTCTAACGCCGCCGTCCTACGTTCAAATTAAAAGCATTTTACAGATATTTTATTTAGTGGTTGATCGTAATCGTCGCCCCAATAAATCAAAGCCAACATGAAAGAATATCAATCAGCACCGACAAAAAGAAGGCCTACCTATAACTATCGAGGATATTTATTCACTTCACTATTTTATAATATTTTACAATTGCTATCATATATTTTGAGACAGTCTAGGGCTTTGGGCGGTGATGTCAATATATCTATAAAGAAATTGTGTAGTTAAACAAAATTAAAATTAATACCTGCGTAGAGGGAGAATTGTGTCGGAATTTAGTTTATCGATGTCGACGGACTAAATGACACTCATACTTGACAACTAACAGTTAGAATTTATGGCCGTGCCCAAAGTGCATGTGGCGTTAACAAGGACTCCAATTCCACTGTATATGATTTAAAACTGGGCGCCTCGTTGCTTTTTGTTATGTGCTGTGTTGATATATTTCTTCATAATTACTATGTAATATTAAAAATGTCAATATAAAAATTTGACAGCAAAAACAGCCAAATTAGTTGAGCCAGTTTTGCTGATAAATAGCTAAAAACAGGTGAATCCTAATTCCTATTCCCTCGCGGGGGTGGGGACATGTATGTCTCATAGCTCACGATCTCTCTGGACAAAAAATAAATTAAAAAGTAGTATTCAACTTATCTTTCAAAACATTCTGGACCATATCAAAAAAGTTCATATATCGGAAATATCGGCCTTAATCCAACCGATACCGATACATGGCCGATACCAAAAAAATGGCCGATATTGACGATACCAATACATCTCTAATAGAAACTTACATCATGATTGACTTAACTAACAGTTTAGGTTGCGTGAAACTAACTACCTTTCTTTGCTCTATGCCTTCGCGCCTCACTACACTGCGGGGTATCTATTGATTTTAAATCAAATTTAGCTTTCCTATTGTTCTGGCACTGTCCCGATTTTGTTTATATCTATCTATCGCAAACAGACCCAACATTTGAAATCAATATTTATGTGCATGCAATTGCGTGTCTTGTTATAGTTGTAAAATGCTTGTAAGAAGTCTGACCTCGGTTAGACGAAAGGTTACAGAAATATATTTGTGTTCATGTGCAGCAAGATTCTTGAATTGAATATGATTGACTTATGTATTAGATCATCAATGTGCTCATATAACAACTGAACAATGTTTTATTTCTTTCGCTTGTTTTTAGTAAATTCATGAAATTTTGATATTCCCAAATTGTTGATTTTCTGCATATTCAGATATTATTGTGATTAATTCGATTTTCATTCCAAATCATTTGTTATACC